ATCTCGGAGAAGGGGATGGAATCTGGGAGAAGGGGATGGAATTTGGGAGAAGGGGATGGAATCTGGGAGAAGGGGATGGAATCTGGGAGAAGGGGATGGAATCTGGGAGAAGGGGATGGAATCTGGGAGAAGGGGATGGAATCTGGGAGAAAGGGATGGAATCAGGGAGAAGGGGATGGAATCTGGGAGAAGGGGATGGAATTTAGGAGAAGGGGATGGAATTTGGGAGAAGGGGATGCAGTCAGAGAGAAGGGGGTGGAATCGGGGAGAAGGGGATGGAATCAAAGAGAAGGGAATGGAATTTGGGAGAATGGGATGGATTTGGGAGAAGGAGATGGAATCTGGGAGAAGGGAATGGAATCTGGGAGAAGGGGATGGAATCTGGGAGAAGGGGATGGAATCTGGGAGAAGGGGATGGAATCTGGGAGAAGGGGATGGAATCTGGGAGAAGGGGATGGAATCTGGGAGAAGGGGATGGAATCTGGGAGAAGGGGATGGAATCTGGGAGAAGGGGATGGAATCTGGGAGAAGGGGATGGAATCTGGGAGAAGGGGATGGAATCAGGGACAAGGTGATGGAATTGGGGAGAAGGGATAGAATCTGGGAGAAGGGGATGGAATCTCGGAGAAGGGGATGGAATCTGGGAGAAGGGGATAGAATTTGGGAGAAGGGGATGGAATCTGGGAGAAGGGGATGGAATCTGGGAGAAGGGGATGGAATCTGGGAGAAGGGGATGGAATCTGGGAGAAGGGGATGGAATCTGGGAGAAGGGGATGGAATCTGGGAGAAGGGGATGGAATCAGGGAGAAGGGGATGGAATCTGGGAGAAGGGGATGGAATATGGGAGAAGGGGATGGAATTTGGGACAAGGGGATGGAATCTGGGAGAAGGGTATGGAATCAGGTAGAAGGGATGGAATGTGGGAGAAGGGGATGGAATCTAGGAGAAGGGGATGGAATCTGGAGAAGGGGATGGAATCTGGGAGAAGGGGATGGAATCTGGGAGAAGGGGATGGAATCAGGGAGAAGGGGATGGAATCTGGGAGAAGGGGATGGAATTTAGGAGAAGGGGATGGAATCTGGGAGAAGGGGATGCAATCAGGGAGAAGGGGATGGAATCGGGGAGAAGGGGATGGAATCTGGGAGAAGGGGATGGAATCTGGGAGAAGGGGATGGAATCTGGGAGAAGGGGATGGAATCTGGGAGAAGGGGATGGAATCTGGGAGAAGGGGATGGAATCAGGGAGAAGGGGATGGAATCGGGGAGAAGGGGATGGAATATTGGAGAAGGGGATAGAATTTGGGACAAGGGGATGGTTCTGGGAGAAGGGTATGGAATCAGGTAGAAGGGATGGAATGTGGGAGAAGGGGATGGAATCTGGGAGAAGGGGATGGAATCAGGAGAAGGGGATGGAATCTGGGAGAAGGGGATGGAATCTGGGAGAAGAGGATGGAATCTGAGAGAAGGGGATGGAATCTGGGAGAAGGGGATGGAATCTGGGAGAAGGGGATGGAATCTGGGAGAAGAGGATGGAATCTGGGAGAAGGGGATGGAATCTGGGAGAAGGGGATGGAATAAGGGAGAAGGGGATGGAATCTGGGAGAAGGGGATGGAATATGGGAGAAGGGGATGGAATTTGGGACAAGGGGATGGAATCTGGGAGAAGGGTATGGAATCAGGTAGAAGGGATGGAATGTGGGAGAAGGGGATGGAATCTCGGAGAAGGGGATGGAATCTGGGAGAAGGGGATGGAATCACGGACAAGGTGATGGAATCGGGGAGAAGGGATAGAATCTGGGAGAAGGGGATGGAATCTCGGAGAAGGGGATGGAATCTGGGAGAAGGGGATGGAATTTGGGAGAAGGGGATGGAATCTGGGAGAAGGGGATGGAATGTGGGAGAAGGGGATGGAATCTGGGAGAAGGGGATGGAATCTAGGAGAAGGGGATGGAATCTGGGAGAAGGGGATGGAATTTGGGAGAAGGGGATGGAATCAGGGAGAAGGGGATGGAATCTGGGAGAAGGGGATGGAATATGGGAGAAGGGGATGGAATTTGGGACAAGGGGATGGAATCTGGGAGAAGGGTATGGAATAAGGTAGAAGGGATGGAATGTGGGAGAAGGGGATGGAATCTGGGAGAAGGGGATGGAATCTGGAAAAGGGGATGGAATCTGGGAGAAGGGGATGGAATCTGGGAGAAGAGGATGGAATCTGAGAGAAGGGGATGGAATCTGGGAGAAGGGGATGGAATCAGGGAGAAGGGGATGGAATCTGGGAGAAAGGGATGGAATCAGGGAGAAGGGGATGGAACCTGGGAGAAGGAGATGGAATTTAGGAGAAGGGGATGGAATCTGGGAGAAGGGGATGCAATCAGGGAGAAGGGGATGAAATATGGGAGAAGGGGATGGAATATGGGAGAAGGGGATGGAATCTGGGAGAAGGGGATGGAATCTGGGAGAAGAGGATGGAATCTGGGAGAAGGGGATGGAATCTGGGAGAATGGGAATGGAATTAGGGAGAAGGGGATGGAATCTGGGAGAAAGGGATGGAATCAAGGAGAAGGGGATGGAATCTGGGAGAAGGGGATGGAATTTAGGAGAAGGGGATGGAATCTGGGAGAAGGGGATGGAATCAAAGAGAAAGGGATGGAATCTGAGAGAAGGGGATGGAATCTGGGAGAAGGGGATGGAATCTGGGAGAAGGGGATGGAATCTAGGAGAAGGGGATGGAATCTGGGAGAAGGGGATGGAATCAGGGAGAAGGGGATGGAATCTGGGAGAAGGGGATGGAATATGGGAGAAGGGGATGGAATTTGGGACAAGGGGATGGAATCTGGGAGAAGGGTATGGAATCTGGGAGAAGGGGATGGAATCTGGGAGAAGGGGATGGAATCTGGGAGAAGGGGATGGATTCTGGGAGAAAGGGATGGAATCAGGGAGAAGGGGATGGAATCTGGGAGAAGGGGATGAAATTTAGGAGAAGGGGATGGAATCTGGGAGAAGGGGATGCAGTCAGAGAGAAGGGGATGGAATTGGGGAGAAGGGGATGGAATGAAAGAGAAGGGGATGGAATTTGGGAGAATGGGATGGATTTGGGAGAAGGAGATGGAATCTGGGAGAAGGGAATAGAATCTCGGAGAAGGGGATGGAATTTGGGAGAAGGGGATGGAATCTGGGAGAAGGGGATGGAATCTGGGAGAAGGGGATGGAATCTGGGAGAAGGGGATGGAATCAGGGAGAAGGGGATGGAAGCTGGGAGAAGGGGATGGAATCTGGGAGAAGGGGATGGAATCAGGGGGAAGGGGATGGAATCTGGGAGAAGGGGATGGAATCAGGGACAAGGTGATGGAATCGGGGAGAAGGGATAGAATCTGGGAGAAGGGGATGGAATCTCGGAGAAGGGGATGGAATCTGGGAGAAGGGGATGGAATTTGGGAGAAGGGGATGGAATCTGGGAGAAGGGGATGGAATCTGGGAGAAGGGGATGGAATCTGGGAGAAGGGGATGGAATCTGGGAGAAGGGGATGGAATCTGGGAGAAGGGGATGGAATCTGGGAGAAGGGGATGGAATCAGGGAGAAGGGGATGGAATCTGGGAGAAGGGGATGGAATATGGGAGAAGGGGATGGAATTTGGGACAAGGGGATGGAATCTGGGAGAAGGGTATGGAATCAGGTAGAAGGGATGGAATGTGGGAGAAGGGGATGGAATCTAGGAGAAGGGGATGGAATCTGGAGAAGGGGATGGAATCTGGGAGAAGGGGATGGAATCTGGGAGAAGGGGATGGAATCAGGGAGAAGGGGATGGAATCTGGGAGAAGGGGATGGAATTTAGGAGAAGGGGATGGAATCTGGGAGAAGGGGATGCAATCAGGGAGAAGGGGATGGAATCGGGGAGAAGGGGATGGAATCTGGGAGAAGGGGATGGAATCTGGGAGAAGGGGATGGAATCTGGGAGAAGGGGATGGAATCTGGGAGAAGGGGATGGAATCTGGGAGAAGGGGATGGAATCAGGGAGAAGGGGATGGAATCTAGGAGAAGGAGATGGAATCAGGGATAAGGGGATAGAATCTGGGAGAAGGGGATGGAATCTAGGAGAAGGGGATGGAATCTGGTAGAAGGGGATGGAATCTGGGAGAAGGGGATGGAATCTGGGAGAAGGTGATGAAATCGGGGAGAAGGAATAGAATCTGGGAGAAGGGGATGGAATCTGGGAGAAGGGAATGGAACTTGGGAGAAGGGGATGGAATTTGGGAGAAGGGGATGGAATCTGGGAGAAGGGGATGGAATCTGGGAGAAGAGGATGGAATCTGGGAGAAGGGGATGGAGTCTGGGAGAAGGGGATGGAATCAGGGAGAAGGGGATGGAATCTGGGAGAAAGGGATGGAATCAGGGAGAAGGGGATGGAATCTGGGAGAAGGGGATGGAATCTGGGAGAAGGGGATGGAATCTGGGAGAAGGGGATGGAATCTGGGAGAAGGGGATGGAATCTGGGAGAAGGGGATGGAATCTGGGACAAGGGGATGGAATCTGGGAGAAGGGTATGGAATCAGGGAGAAGGGGATGGAATCTGGGAGAAGGGGATGGAATCTGGGAGAAGGGGATGGAATCTGGGAGAAGGGGATGGGATCTGGGAGAAGGGGATGGAATCTGGGAGCAGGGGATGGAATCTGGGAGAAGGGGATGGAATCGGGGAGAAGGAGATGGAATCTGGGAGAATGGGATGGAATTTGGGAGAAGGGGATGGAATCTGGGAGAAGGGGATGGAATTTGGGAGAAGGGGATGGAATCTGGGAGAAGGGGGTGGAATCTGGGAGAAGGGGATGGAATCTAGGAGAAGGGGATGGAATCGGGGAGAAAGGGATGGAATCTGGGAGAAGGGGATGGAATCTGGGAGAAGGGGATGGAATCAGGGAGAAGGGGATGGAATCTAGGAGAAGGAGATGGAATCAGGGATAAGGGGATAGAATCTGGGAGAAGGGGATGGAATCTAGGAGAAGGGGATGGAATCTGGTAGAAGGGGATGGAATCTGGGAGAAGGGGATGGAATCTGGGAGAAGGTGATGAAATCGGGGAGAAGGAATAGAATCTGGGAGAAGGGGATGGAATCTGGGAGAAGGGAATGGAACTTGGGAGAAGGGGATGGAATTTGGGAGAAGGGGATGGAATCTGGGAGAAGGGGATGGAATCTGGGAGAAGAGGATGGAATCTGGGAGAAGGGGATGGAGTCTGGGAGAAGGGGATGGAATCAGGGAGAAGGGGATGGAATCTGGGAGAAAGGGATGGAATCAGGGAGAAGGGGATGGAATCTGGGAGAAGGGGATGGAATCTGGGAGAAGGGGATGGAATCTGGGAGAAGGGGATGGAATCTGGGAGAAGGGGATGGAATCTGGGAGAAGGGGATGGAATCTGGGACAAGGGGATGGAATCTGGGAGAAGGGTATGGAATCAGGGAGAAGGGGATGGAATCTGGGAGAAGGGGATGGAATCTGGGAGAAGGGGATGGAATCTGGGAGAAGGGGATGGGATCTGGGAGAAGGGGATGGAATCTGGGAGCAGGGGATGGAATCTGGGAGAAGGGGATGGAATCGGGGAGAAGGAGATGGAATCTGGGAGAATGGGATGGAATTTGGGAGAAGGGGATGGAATCTGGGAGAAGGGGATGGAATTTGGGAGAAGGGGATGGAATCTGGGAGAAGGGGGTGGAATCTGGGAGAAGGGGATGGAATCTAGGAGAAGGGGATGGAATCGGGGAGAAGGAGATGGAATCTGGGAGAATGGGATGGAATTTGGGAGAAGGGGATGGAATCTGGGAGAAGGGGATGGAATTTGGGAGAAGGGGATGGTATCAGGGAGAAGGGGATGGAATCTGGGAGAAGGGGATGGAATCTGGGAGAAGGGGGTGGAATCTAGGAGAAGGGGATGGAATCTGGGAGAAGGGTATAGAATCTGGGAGAAGGGGATGGAATCTGGGAGAAGGGGATGGAATTTAGGAGAAGGGGATGGAATCTGGGAGAAGGGGATGCAATCAGGGAGAAGGGGATGGAATCGGGGAGAAGGGGATGGAATCTGGGAGAAGGGGATGGAATCTGGGAGAAGGGGATGGAATCTGGGAGAAGGGGATGGAATCTGGGAGAAGGGGATGGAATCTGGGAGAAGGAGATGGAATCAGGGATAAGGGGATAGAATCTGGGAGAAGGGGATGGAATCTGGGAGAAGGGGATGGAATCTGGGAGAAGGGGATGGAATCTAGGAGAAGGGGATGGAATCTGGGAGAAGGTGATGAAATCGGGGAGAAGGAATAGAATCTGGGAGAAGGGGATGGAATCTGGGAGAAGGGAATGGAACTTGGGAGAAGGGGATGGAATTTGGGAGAAGGGGATGGAATCTGGGAGAAGGGGATGGAATCTGAGAGAAGGGGATGGAATCTGGGAGAAGGGGATGGAATCTGGGAGAAGAGGATGGAATCTGGGAGAAGGGGATGGAGTCTGGGAGAAGGGGATGGAATCAGGGAGAAGGGGATGGAATCTGGGAGAAAGGGATGGAATCAGGGAGAAGGGGATGGAATCTGGGAGAAGGGGATGGAATCTGGGAGAAGGGGATGGAATCTGGGAGAAGGGGATGGAATCTGGGAGAAGGGGATGGAATCCGAGAGAAGGGGATGGAATCTGGGAGAAGGGGATGGAATTTGGGAGAAGGGGATGGAATCTGGGACAAGGGTATGGAATCAGGGAGAAGGGGATGGAATCTGGGAGAAGGGGATGGAATCTGGGAGAAGGGGATGGAATCTGGGAGAAGGGGATGGGATCTGGGAGAAGGGGATGGAATCTGGGAGCAGGGGATGGAATCTGGGAGAAGGGGATGGAATCGGGGAGAAGGGGATGGAATCTGGGAGAATGGGATGGAATTTGGGAGAAGGGGATGGAATCTGGGAGAAGGGGATGGAATTTGGGAGAAGGGGATGGAATCTGGGAGAAGGGGATGGAATCAGGGAGAAGGGGATGGAATCTGGGAGAAGGGGATGGAATCTGGGAGAAGGGGGTGGAATCTAGGAGAAGGGGATGGAATGTGGGAGAAGGGTATAGAATCTGGGAGAAGGGGATGAAATCAGGGAGAATGGGATGGAATTTGGGAGAAGGGGATGGAATCTGGGAGAAGGGGATGGAATCTGGGAGAAGGGGATAGAATCTGGGAGAAGGGGATGGAATCTGGGAGAAGGGGATGGAATCTAGGAGAAGGGGATAGAACCTGGGAGAAGGGGATGGAATCTGGGAGAAGGGGATGGAATGTGGGAGAAGGGGATGGAATCAGGGAGAAGGGGATGGAATCAGGGAGAAGGGGATGGAATCTGGGAGAAGGGGATGGAATCTAGGAGAAGGGGATGGTCTCAGGGAGAAGGGGATGGAATCTGGGAGAAGGGGGTGGAATCTGGGAGAAGGGGATGGAATCTAGGAGAAGGGGATGGAATCTGGGAGAAGGGGGTGGAATATGGGAGAAGGGGATGGAATCTGGGAGAAGGGTATAGAATCTGGGAGAAGGGGATGAAATCAGGGAGAATGGGATGGAATTTGGGAGAAGGGGATGGAATCTGGGAGAAGGGGATGGAATCTGGGAGAAGGGGGTGGAATCTGGGAGAAGGGGATGAACTCTGGGAGAAGGGGATGGAATGTGGGAGAAGGGGATGGAATCTGGGAGAAGGGGATGGAATCTAGGAGAAGGGGATGGTCTCAGGGAGAAGGGGATGGAATCTGGGAGAAGGGGATGGAATCAGGGAGAAGGGGGTGGAATCTGGGAGAAGGGGATGAAATCAGGGAGAAGGGGACGGAATCAGGGAGAAGGGGATGGAATCTGGGAGAAGGGGGTGGAATCTGGGAGAAGGGGGTGGAATCTGGGAGAAGGGGATGGAATCTGGGAGAAGGGGATGGAATCTGGGAGAAGGGGATGGAATATGGGAGAAGGGGATGGAATCTGGGAGAAGGGGATGGAATCTGGGAGAAGGGGATGGAATCTGGGAGAAGGGGATGGAATCTGGGAGAAGGGGATGGAATCTGGGAGAAGGGGGTGGAATATGGGAGAAGGGGATGGAATCTGGGAGAAGGGGATGGAATCTAGGAGAAGGGGATGGTATCAGGGAGAAGGGGATGGAATCTGGGAGAAGGGGATGGAATCTGGGAGAAGGGGGTGGAATCTAGGAGAAGGGGATGGAATCTGGGAGAAGGGTATAGAATTTGGGAGAAGGGGATGAAATCAGGGAGAATGGGATGGAATTTGGGAGAAGGGGATGGAATCTGGGAGAAGGGGATGGAATCTGGGAGAAGGGGGTGGAATCTGGGAGAAGGGGGTGGAATCTGGGAGAAGGGGATGGAATCTGGGAGAAGGGGATGGAATCTGGGAGAAGGGGGTGGAATCTGGGAGAAGGGGATGAACTCTAGGAGAAGGGGATGGAATCAGGGAGAAGGGGATGGAATCTGGGAGAAGGGGGTGGAATCTGGGAGAAGGGGGTGGAATCTGGGAGAAGGGGATGGAATCTGGGAGAAGGGGATGGAATCTGGGAGAAGGGGATGGAATCTAGGAGAAGGGGATGGTATCAGGGAGAAGGGGATGGAATCAGGGAGAAGGGGATGAAATCAGGGAGAATGGGATGGAATCTAGGAGAAGGGGATGGAATCTGGGAGAAGGGGATGGAATCTGGGAGAAGGGGGTGGAATCTGGGAGAAGGGGGTGGAATCTGGGAGAAGGGGATGGAATCTGGAAGAAGGGGATGAAATCAGGGAGAATGGGATGGAATTTGGGAGAAGGGGATGGAATCTAGGAGAAGGGGATGGAATCTGGGAGAAGGGGGTGGAATCTGGGAGAAGGGGGTGGAATCTGGGAGAAGGGGATGGAATCTGGGAGAAGGGGATGGAATCTGGGAGGAGGGGGTGGAATCTGGGAGAAGGGGATGAACTCTGGGAGAAGGGGATGGAATCAGGGAGAAGGGGATGGAATCTGAGAGAAGGGGGTGGAATCTGGGAGAAGGGGGTGGAATCTGGGAGAAGGGGATGGAATCTGGGAGAAGGGGATGGAATCTGGGAGAAGGGGATGGAATCTGGGAGAAGGGGATGGAATCTAGGAGAAGGGGATGGTATCAGGGAGAAGGGGATGGAATCTGGGAGAAGGGGATGGAATCTGGGAGAAGGGGGTGGAATCTAGGAGAAGGGGATGGAAATGGGAGAAGGGTATAGAATCTGGGAGAAGGGGATGAAATCAGGGAGAATGGGATGGAATTTGGGAGAAGGGGATGGAATGTGGGAGAAGGGGATGGAATCTGGGAGAAGGGGGTGGAATCTGGGAGAAGGGGATGAACTCTGGGAGAAGGGGATGGAATCTGGGAGAAGGGGATAGAATCTGGGAGAAGGGGATGGAATCTGGGAGAAGGGGATGGAATCTGGGAGAAGGGGATGGAATCTGGGAGAAGGGGATGGAATCTAGAAGAAGGGGATGGTATCAGGGAGAAGGGGATGGAATCTGGGAGAAGGGGATGGAATCTGGGAGAAGGGGGTGGAATCTAGGAGAAGGGGATGGAAATAGGAGAAGGGTATAGAATCTGGGAGAAGGGGATGAAATCAGGGAGAATGGGATGGAATTTGGGAGAAGGGGATGGAATGTGGGAGAAGGGGATGGAATCTGGGAGAAGGGGGTGGAATCTGGGAGAAGGGGATGAACTCTGGGAGAAGGGGATGGAATCTGGGAGAAGGGGATAGAATCTGGGAGAAGGGGATGGAATCTGGGAGAAGGGGATGGAATCTGGGAGAAGGGGATGGAATCTGGGAGAAGGGGATGGAATCAGGGAGAAGGGGATGGAATCTGGGAGAAGGGGATGGAATCTGGGAGAAGGGGATGGAATCTGGGAGAAGGGGATGAAATCAGGGAGAAGGGGATGGAATCAGGGAGAAGGGGATGGAATCTGGGAGAAGGGGGTGGAATCTGGGAGAAGGGGGTGGAATCTGGGAGAAGGGGATGGAATCTGGGAGAAGGGAATGGAATCTGGGAGAAGGGGATGGAATCTGGGAGAAGGGGATGGAATCTGGGAGAAGGGGATGAAATCAGGGAGAAGGGGATGGAATCAGGGAGAAGGGGATGGAATCTGGGAGAAGGGGGTGGAATCTGGGAGAAGGGGGTGGAATCTGGGAGAAGGGGATGGAATCTGGGAGAAGGGAATGGAATCTGGGAGAAGGGGATGGAATCTGGGAGAAGGGGATGGAATCTGGGAGAAGGGGATGGAATCTGGGAGAAGGGGAAGGAATCTGGGAGAAGGTGATGGAATCGGGGAGAAGGGATGGAATCTGGGAGAAGGGGATGGAATCTGGGAGAAGGGGATGGAATCTGGGAGAAGGGGATGGAATTTGGGAGAAGGGGATTGATTCTGGGAGAACGGGTGGAATCTGGGAGAAGGGGAAGGAATCCGAGAGAAGGGGATGGAATCTGGGAGAAGGGGATGGAATATGCGAGAAGGGGATGGAATCCGCCCCATTCTCCCGCTTTCCATCACCCCGCCACATTCTCCCACTTTCCATCAGCCCGCCCCCTTCTCTCTCCTTCCATCACCCCGCCCCATTCTCCCTCCTTCCATCACCCTGCCCCATTCTCCCGCTTTCCATCAGCCCGCCCCATTCTCCTGCTTTCCATCACCCCTCCCCTTTCTCCCGCTTTCCATCACCCCGCCCCATTCTCCCGCTTTCCATCACCCCGCTCCATTCTCCCGCCTTCCATCACCCCGCCCCAATCTCCCGCTTTCCATCACCCCGCCCCATTCTCCCGCTTTCGATCACTCCGCCCCATTCTCCCGCTTTCCATCACCCCGACCCATTCTCCCACTTTCCATCACCCCGCCCCATTCTCCCTCCTTCCATCACCCCGCCTCATTCTCCCTCCTTCCATCACCCCGCCCCATTCTCCCGCTTTCCATCACCCCGCCCCATTCGCCTGCTTTCCATCACAACGCCCCATTCTCCCGCTTTCCATCACCCCGCCCCATTCTCCCTCCTTCCATCACCCTGCCCCATTCTCCCGCTTTCCTTCACCCCGCCCCATTCTCCCGCTTTCCATAACCCCACCCCATTCTCCCGCTTTCCATCACCCCGCCACATTCTCCCACTTTCCATCACCCCGCCCCATTCTCCCTCCTTCCATCACCCTGCCCCATTCTCCCTCCTTTGATCACCCCGCCCCATTCTCCCGCTTTCCATCACCCCGCCCCATTCTCCCGCTTTCCATCACCCCGCCCCATTCTCCCGCTCTCCATCACCCGCCCCATTCTCCCTGTTTCCATCACCCCGCCCCATTCTCCCGCTTTCCATCACCCCGCCCCATTCTCCCTGTTTCCATCACCTCGCCCCATTCTCCCTCTTTCCATCTCCCCGCCCCATTCTCCCGCTTTCCATCACCCCGCCCCATTCTCCCTCTTTCCATCACCCCGCCCCATTCTCCCACCTTTCATCACCTGCCCCATTCCTCCCGCTTTCCATCACCCCGCCCAATTCTCCCGCTTTCCATCACCCCGCCCCGTTCTCCGTCTTTCCATCACCCCGCCCCATTCTCCCGCTTTCCATCACCCCGCCCCATTCTCCCGCTTTCCATCACCCCGCCCCATTCTCCCTCTTTCTATCACCCCGCCCCATTCTCCCTCTTTCCATCACCCCGCCCCATTCTCCCGCCTTTCATCACCCCGCCCCATTCTCCCGCTTTCCATCACCCCGCCCAATTCTCCCGTTTTCCATCACCCCGCCCCATTCTCCCGCCTTCCATCACCCCGCCCCATTCTCCCTCTTTCCATCACCCCGCCCCATTCTCCCTCTTTCCATCACCCCGCCCCATTCTCCCACTTTCCATCACCCCGCCCCATTCTCCCTCTATCCATCACCCCGCCCCATTCTCTCGCTTTCCATCACCCCGCGTTGTTCTCCCGTTTTCCATCACCCCGCCCCATTCTCCCGATTTCCATCACCCCGCCCCATTCTCCCGCTTTCCATCACCCCGCCCCATTCTTCCGATTTCCATCACCCCGCCCCATTCTCCTGCTTTCCATCACCCCGCCCCATTCTCCCGCTTTCCATCACCCTGCCCCATTCTCACTCTTTCCATCACCCCTCCCCATTCACCCTCTTCCCATCACCCCGCCCAATTCTCCTGCTTTCTATCTCCCCACCCCATTCTCCCTCTTTCCATCACCCCGCCCCATTCTCCCGCCTTCCATCACCCCGCCCCATTCTCCATCTTTCCATCACCCTGCCCAATTCTCCCCCTTTCCATCACCCCGCCCCATTCTCCCTCTTTCCATCACCCCGCCCCATTCTCTCGCTTTCCATCACCCCGCCCTATTTTCCCGATTTCCATCACCCCGCCCCGTTCTCCCGCTTTCCATCACCCCGCCCCATTCTCCCGCTTTCCATCACCCCGCCCCATTCTCCCGCTTTCCATCACCCCGCCCCATTCTCCCGCTTTCCATCACCCCGCCCCATTCTCCCGATTTCCATCACCCTACCCCATTCACCCGCTTTCCATCACCCCTCCCCATTCTCCCTCCTTCTATCACCCCGCCCCATTCTCCCGCTTTCCATTACCCGCCCCATTCTCCCGCTTTCCATCACCTCGCCCCATCTCCCGCTTTCCATCACCCCGCCCTATTCTTCTGCTTTCCATCACCCCGCCCCATTCTCCTGCTTTCCATCACCCCGCCCCATTCACCCGCTTTCCATCACCCGCCCCATTCTCCTGCTTTCCATCACCCCACTCCATTCTCCCGCTTTCCATCACTCCGCTTCATTCTCCCGCTTTCCATCACCCCGCCCCATTCTCCCGCTTTCCGTCAGCCCACCCCATTCTACCACTTTCCATCACCCCGCCCCATTCTCCCGCTTTCCATCACCCCGCCCCATTCTCCCGCTTTCGATCACCCCGCCCCATTCTCCCGCTTTCCATCACCCCGCCCCATTCTCCAGCTTTCCATCACCCCGCCCCATTCTCCCGCTTTCCATCACCCCGCCCCATTCTCCCGCTTTCCATCACCCCGCCCCATTCTCCCGCTTTCCATCACCCCGCCCCATTCTCCCGCTTTCCATCACCCCGCCCCATTCTCCCGCTCTCCATCACCCGCCCCATTCTCCCTGTTTCCATCACCCCGCCCCATTCTCCCGCTTTCCATCACCCCGCCCCATTCTCCCTGTTTCCATCACCTCGCCCCATTCTCCCTCTTTCCATCTCCCCGCCCCATTCTCCCGCTTTCCATCACCCCGCCCCATTCTCCCTCTTTCCATCACCCCGCCCCATTCTCCCACCTTTCATCACCTGCCCCATTCCTCCCGCTTTCCATCACCCCGCCCAATTCTCCCGCTTTCCATCACCCCGCCCCGTTCTCCGTCTTTCCATCACCCCGCCCCATTCTCCCGCTTTCCATCACCCCGCCCCATTCTCCCGCTTTCCATCACCCCGCCCCATTCTCCCTCTTTCTATCACCCCGCCCCATTCTCCCTCTTTCCATCACCCCGCCCCATTCTCCCGCCTTTCATCACCCCGCCCCATTCTCCCGCTTTCCATCACCCCGCCCAATTCTCCCGTTTTCCATCACCCCGCCCCATTCTCCCGCCTTCCATCACCCCGCCCCATTCTCCCTCTTTCCATCACCCCGCCCCAATCTCCCTCTTTCCATCACCCCGCCCCATTCTCCCACTTTCCATCACCCCGCCCCATTCTCCCTCTATCCATCACCCCGCCCCATTCTCTCGCTTTCCATCACCCCGCGTTGTTCTCCCGTTTTCCATCACCCCGCCCCATTCTCCCGATTTCCATCACCCCGCCCCATTCTCCCGCTTTCCATCACCCCGCCCCATTCTTCCGATTTCCATCACCCCGCCCCATTCTCCTGCTTTCCATCACCCCGCCCCATTCTCCCGCTTTCCATCACCCTGCCCCATTCTCACTCTTTCCATCACCCCTCCCCATTCACCCTCTTCCCATCACCCCGCCCAATTCTCCTGCTTTCTATCTCCCCACCCCATTCTCCCTCTTTCCATCACCCCGCCCCATTCTCCCGCCTTCCATCACCCCGCCCCATTCTCCATCTTTCCATCACCCTGCCCAATTCTCCCCCTTTCCATCACCCCGCCCCATTCTCCCTCTTTCCATCACCCCGCCCCATTCTCTCGCTTTCCATCACCCCGCCCTATTTTCCCGATTTCCATCACCCCGCCCCGTTCTCCCGCTTTCCATCACCCCGCCCCATTCTCCCGCTTTCCATCACCCCGCCCCATTCTCCCGCTTTCCATCACCCCGCCCCATTCTCCCGCTTTCCATCACCCCGCCCCATTCTCCCGATTTCCATCACCCTACCCCATTCACCCGCTTTCCATCACCCCTCCCCATTCTCCCTCCTTCTATCACCCCGCCCCATTCTCCCGCTTTCCATTACCCGCCCCATTCTCCCGCTTTCCATCACCTCGCCCCATCTCCCGCTTTCCATCACCCCGCCCTATTCTTCTGCTTTCCATCACCCCGCCCCATTCTCCTGCTTTCCATCACCCCGCCCCATTCACCCGCTTTCCATCACCCGCCCCATTCTCCTGCTTTCCATCACCCCACTCCATTCTCCCGCTTTCCATCACTCCGCTTCATTCTCCCGCTTTCCATCACCCCGCCCCATTCTCCCGCTTTCCGTCAGCCCACCCCATTCTACCACTTTCCATCACCCCGCCCCATTCTCCTGCTTTCCATCACCCCGCCCCATTCTCCCGCTTTCGATCACCCCGCCCCATTCTCCCGCTTTCCATCACCCCGCCCCATTCTCCAGCTTTCCATCACCCCGCCCCATTCTCCCGCTTTCCATCACCCCGCCCCATTCTCCCGCTTTCCATCACCCCGCCCCATTCTCCCGCTTTCCATCACCCCGCCCCATTCTCCCGCTTTCCATCACCCCGCCCCATTCTCCCGCTTTCCATCACCCCGCCCCATTCTCCCGCTTTCCATCACCACGCCCCATTCTCCCGCTTTCCATCACCCCGCCCCATTCTCCCGCTTTCCATCACCCCGCCCCATTCTCCCTCCTTCCATCACCCCGCCTCATTCTACCTCCTTCCATCACCCCGCCCCATGCTCCCGCTTTCCATCACCCCGCCCCATTCTCCCGCTTTTAATCACCCGCCCCATTCTCCCACTTTCCATCACCCCGCCCCATTCTCCCGCTTTCCATCACCCCGCCCCATTCTCCCTCCTTCCATCACCCCGCCCCATTCTCCCGCTTTCCATCAGCCCACCCCATTCACCCGCTTTCCATCACACCGCCCCATTCTCCCGCTTTCCATCACCTCGCCCCATTCTCCCGCTTTCCATCACCCCGCCCCATTCTCCCATCTCCCCGCCCCATTCTCCCGCTTTCCATCACCACGCCCCATTCTCCCGCTTTCCATCACCCCGCCCCATTCTCCCGCTTTCCATCACTCTGCCCCATTCTCCCGCTTTCCATCACCCCGCCCCATTCTCCTTCTTTCGATCACCCCGCCCCATTCTTCTCCTTCCATCACCCCGCCTCATTCTACCTCCTTCCATCACCCCGCCCCATTCTCCCGCTTTCCATCACCCCGCCCCATTCTCCCGCTTTCCATCACCCCGCCCCATTCTCCCACTTTCTATCACCCCAGCCTATTCTCCCGCTTTCCATCTCCCCGCCCCATACTCCCGCTTTCTATCACCCCGCCCCATTCTCCCGCTTTCCATCACCCCGCCCCATTCTCCCGCTTTCGATCGCCACGCCCCATTCTCCCTCCTTCCATCACCCCGCCCCATTCTCCCGCTTTCCATCACCCCGCCCCATTCTCCCGCTTTCCATCACCCTGCCCCATTCACCCGCTTTCCATCACCCCGCCCCATTTTCCCGCTTTCCATCACCCCGCCCCATTCTCCCGATTTCCATCACCCCGCCCCATTCACCCGCTTTCCATCACCCCTCTCCATTCTTCCTCCTTCTATCAACCTGCCCCATTCTCCCACTTTCCATTACCCGCCCCATTCTCCCGCTTTCCATCACCTCGCCCCATTCTCCCGCTTTCCATCACCCCGCCCTATTCTTCTGCTTTCCATCACCCCGCCCCATTCACCCGCTTTCCATCACCAGCCCCATTCTCCTGCTTTCCATCACCCCACTCCATTCTCCCGCTTTCCATCACTCCGCTTCATTCTCCCGCTTTCCATCACCCCGCCCCATTCTCCTGCTTTCCATCACCCCGCCCCATTCTCCCTCCTTCCATCACTCCGCCTCATTCTCCCTCCTTCCATCACCCTGCCCCATTCTCCCGCTTTCCATCACCCCGCCCCATTCTCCCGCTTTCCATCACCCAGCCCCATTCTCCCACTTTCCATCACCCCTACTTATTTTCCCGCTTTCTATAACCCCGCCCCATTCTCACGCTTTCCATCACCATGCCCCAATCTCCCGCTTTCCATCACCCCGCCCCATTCTCCCTCCTTCCATCACTCCGCCCCATTCTCCCGCTTTCCATCACCCCGCCCCATTCTCCCGCTTTCCATAACCCCGCCTCATTCTCCCTCCTTCCATCACCCGCCCCATTCTCCCTCCTTCCATCACCCCGCCCCATTCTCCCTCCTTCCATCACCCCGCCCCATTCTCCCGCTTTCCATCAGCCCACCCCATTCTCCCACTTTCCATCACCCCGCCCCATTCTCCCGCTTCCCATCACCCCGCCCCATTCTCCCGCTTTCGATCACCCCGCCCCATTCTCCCGCTTTCCATCACCCCGCCCCATTCTCCCGCTTACCATCACCCCGCCTCATTCTCCCGCTTTCCATCACCCCGCCCCATTCTCCCGCTTTCCATCACCCCGCCCCATTCTCCCTCTTTCCATCACCCCGCCCCATTCTCCAGCCTTTCATCACCTGCCCCATTCCTCCCGCTTTCCATCACCCCGCCCAATTCTCCCGCTTTCCATCACCCCGCCCCGTTCTCCCTCTTTCCATCACCCCGCCCCATTCTCCCGCTTTCCATCACCCCGCCCCATTCTCCCTCTTTCCATCACCCCGCCCCATTCTCCAGCCTTTCATCACCTGCCCCATTCCTCCCGCTTTCCATCACCCCGCCCAATTCTCCCGCTTTCCATCACCCCGCCCCGTTCTCCCTCTTTCCATCACCCCGCCCCATTCTCCCGCTTTCCATCACCCCGCCCCATTCTCCCGCTTTCCATCACCCCGCCCCATTCTCCCTCTTTCCTTCACCCCGCCCCATTCTCCCTCTTTCCATCTCCCCGCCCCATTCTCCCGCTTTCCATCACCCCGCCCCATTCTCCCTCTTTCCATCACCCCGCCCCATTCTCCAGCCTTTCATCACCTGCCCCATTCCTCCCGCTTTCCATCACCCCGCCCAATTCTCCCGCTTTCCATCACCCCGCCCCGTTCTCCCTCTTTCCATCACCCCGCCCCATTCTCCCGCCTTTCATCACCCCGCCCCATTCTCCCGCCTTCCATCACCCCGCCCCATTCTCCCTCCTTCCATCACCCCGCCCCATTCTCCCTCCTTCCATTACCCCGCCCCATTCTCCCGCTTTCCATCACCCCGCCCCATTCTCCCTCCTTCCATCACCCCGCCCCATTCTCCCTCCTTCCATCACCCCGCCCCATTCTCCCTCCTTCCATCACCCCGCCCCATTCTCCCGTTTTCCATCACCCCGCCCCATTTTCCCGCTTCCCATAACCCCGCCCCATTCTCCCGCTTTCCATCACCCCGTCAAATTCTCCCGCTTTCTATCACCCCGCCCCATTCTCCCGCTTTCAATCACCCCGCCCCATTCTCCCGCTTTCCATCACCTCGCCCCATTCTCCCTCTTTCCATCTCCCCGCCCCATTCTCCCGCTTTCCATCACCCCGCCCCATTCTCCCTCTTTCCATCACCCCGCCCCATTCTCCAGCCTTTCATCACCTGCCCCATTCCTCCCGCATTCCATCACCCCGCCCAATTCTCCCGCTTTCCATCACCCCGCCCCGTTCTCCCTCTTTCCATCACCCCGCCCCATTCTCCCGCTTTCCATCACCCCGCCCCATTCTCCCGCTTTCCATCACCCCGCCCCATTCTCCCTCTTTCCTTCACCCCGCCCCATTCTCCCTCTTTCCATCACCCCGCCCCATTCTCCCGCCTTTCATCACCCCGCCCCATTCTCCCGCCTTCCATCACCCCGCCCCATTCTCCCTCCTTCCATCACCCCGCCCCATTCTCCCTCCTTCCATTACCCCGCCCCATTCTCCCGCTTTCCATCACCCCGCCCCATTCTCCCTCCTTCCATCACCCCGCCCCATTCTCCCTCCTTCCATCACCCCGCCCCATTCTCCCGTTTTCCATCACCCCGCCCCATTTTCCCGCTTCCCATAACCCCGCCCCATTCTCCCGCTTTCCATCACCCCGTCAAATTCTCCCGCTTTCTATCACCCCGCCCCATTCTCCCGCTTTCAATCACCCCGCCCCATTCTCCCGATTTCAATCACCCCGCCCCATTCTCCCGATTTCCATCACCCCGCCCCATTCTCCCGCTTTCAATCACCCCGCCCCATTCTCCCGATTTCCATCACCCCGCCCCATTCTCTCGCTTTCCATCACCCCGACCCATTCTCCCGCTTTCCATCACCCCGCCCCATTCTCCCGCTTTCTATCATCCCGCCCCATTCTCCCTCCTTCCATCACCCCGCCCTATTCTTCCGCTTCCCATCATCCCGCCCCATTCCCCCGCTTTCCATCACCCCTCCCCATTCTCCCTTCTTCCATCACCCCGTCCCATTCTTCCGCTTTCCATCACCTCGCCCCATTCTCCCGCTTTCCATCACCCCGCCGCATTCTTTTGCTTTCCATCACCCCGCCCCATTCTCCCGCTCTCCATCACCCTGCCCCATTCACCCGCTTTCCATCACCCGCCCCATTCTCCCGCTTTCCATCACCCCGCCCCATTCTCCCGCTTTCCATCACCCCGCTCCATTCTCCCGCCTTCAATCACCCCGCCCTATTCTCCCGCTTTCCATCACCCCGCCCCATTCTCCCGCTTTCCATCACTCCGCCCCATTCTCCCGCTTTCCATCACCCCGACCCATTGTCCCACTTTCCATCACCCCGCCTCATTCTGCCTCCTTCCATCACCCCGCCCCATTCTTCCGCTTTCCATCACCCGCCCCATTCTCCCGCTTTCCATCACCCCGCCCCGTTCTCCCTCTTTCCATCACCCCGCCCCATTCTCCCGCTTTCCATCACCCCGCCCCATTCTCCCGCTTTCCATCACCCTGCCCCATTCTCCCTCTTTCCTTCACCCCGCCCCATTCTCCCTCTTTCCATCACCCCGCCCCATTCTCCCGCCTTTCATCACCCCGCCCCATTCTCCCGCCTTCCATCACCCCGCCCCATTCTCCCTCCTTCCATCACCCCGCCCCATTCTCCCTCCTTCCATTACCCCGCCCCATTCTCCCGCTTTCCATCACCCCGCCCCATTCTCCCTCCTTCCATCACCCCGCCCCATTCTCCCTCCTTCCATCACCCCGCCCCATTCTCCCTCCTTCCATCACCCCGCCCCATTCTCCCGTTTTCCATCACCCCGCCCCATTTTCCTGCTTCCCATAACCCCGCCCCATTCTCCCGCTTTCCATCACCCCGTCAAATTCTCCCGCTTTCTATCACCCCGCCCCATTCTCCCGCTTTCAATCACCCCGCCCCATTCTCCCGATTTCAATCACCCCGCCCCATTCTCCCGATTTCCATCACCCCGCCCCATTCTCCCGCTTTCAATCACCCCGCCCCATTCTCCCGATTTCCATCACCCCGCCCCATTCTCTCGCTTTCCATCACCCCGCCCCATTCTCCCGCTTTCCATCACCCCGCCCCATTCTCCCGCTTTCTATCATCCCGCCCCATTCTCCCTCCTTCTATCACCCCGCCCTATTCTTCCGCTTCCCATCATCCCGCCCCATTCCCCCGCTTTCCATCACCCCTCCCCATTCTCCCTCCTTCCATCACCCCGTCCCATTCTTCCGCTTTCCATCACCCGCCCCAATCTCCCACTTTCCATCACCTCGCCCCATTCTCCCGCTTTCCATCACCCCGCCTCATTCTTTTGCTTTCCATCACCCCGCCCCATTCTCCCGCTCTCCATCACCCTGCCCCATTCACCCGATTTCCATCACCCGCCCCATTCTCCCGCTTTCCATCACCCCGCCCCATTCTCCTGCTTTCCATCACCCCGCTCCATTCTCCCGCCTTCCATCACCCCGCCCCATTCTCCCGCTTTCCATCACCCCGCCCCATTCTCCCGCTTTTCATCACTCCGCCCCATTCTCCCGCTTTCCATCACCCCGACCCATTCTCCCACTTTCCATCACCCCGCCTCATTCTCCCTCCTTCCATCACCCCGCCCCATTCTTCCGCTTTCCATCACCCACCCCATTCTCCCGCTTTCCATCACCTCGCCCCATTCTCCCGCTTTCCATCACCCCGCCCCATTCTTTTGCTTTCCATCACCCTGCCCCATTCTCCCACTTTCCATCACCCTGCCCCATTTACCCACTTTCCATCACCCGCCCCATTCTCCCGCTTTCCATCACCCCGCCCCATTCTCCCGCTTTCCATCACCCCGCTCCATTCTCCCGCCTTCCATCACCCCGCCCCATTCTCCCGCTTTCCATCACCCCGCCCCATTCTCCCGCTTTCCATCACTCCGCCCCATTCTCCCGCTTTCCATCACCCCGACCCATTCTCCCACTTTCCATCACCCCGCCCCATTCTCCCTCCTTCCATCACCCCGCCTCATTCTCCCTCCTTCCATCACCCCGCCCCATTCTCCCGCTTTCCATCACCCCGCCCCATTCTCCCGCTTTCCATCACCCAGCCCCATTCTCCCGCTTTCCATCACCCCGCCCCATTTTCCCGCTTTCCATCACCCCGCCCCATTCTCCCGCTTTCCATCACCCTGCCCCAATCTCCCGCTTTCCATCACCCCGCCCCATTCTCCCTCCTTCCATCACCCCGCCCCATTCTCCCGCTTTCCATCACCCCGCCCCATTCTCCCGCTTTCCATCACCCAGCCCCATTCTCCCGCTTTCCATCACCCCGCTCCATTCTCCCGCTTTCCATCACCCCACCCCATTCTCCCTCCTTCCATCACCCCGCCCCATTCTCCCTCCTTCCATCACCCCGCCCCATTCTTCCGCTTTCCATCACCCCGCCCCATTCTCCCTCCTTCCATCACCCCGCCCCATTCTCCCTCCTTCCATCACCCCGCCCCATTCTCCCTCCTTCCATCACCCTGCCCCATTCTCCCGCTTTCCATCACCCCGCACCATTTTCCCCCTTCCCATAACCCCACCCCTTTCTCCCGCTTTCCATCACCCTGCCAAATTCTCCCGCTTTCTATCACCCCGCTCCATTCTCCCTCCTTCCATCACCCCGCCCCATTCTCCCGCTTTCAATCACCCCGCCCCATTCTCTCTCCTTCCATCACCCCGCCCCATTCTCTCGCTTTCCATCACCCCGCCCCATTCTCCCGCTTTCCATCACCCCGCCCCATTCTCCCGCTTTCCATCATCCCGCCTCATTCTCTCTCCTTCCATCACCCCGCCTTATTCTTCCGCTTCCCATCATCCCGCCCCATTCCCCCGATTTCCATCACCCCTCCCCATTCTCCCTCCTTCCATCACCCCGCCCCATTCTCTCGCTTTCCATCACCCCGCCCCATCCTCCCGCTGTCCATCGCCCCGCCCCATTCTCCCGCTTTCCATCACTCTGCCCCATTATCCCTTCTTCCATCACCCTGCCCCATTCTCCCTCCTTCCATCACCCCGCCCCATTCTCCCGCTTTCCATCACCCCGCCTCATTCTCCCGCTTCCCATAACCCCACCCCATTCTCCCGCTTTCCATCACCCCGCCACATTCTCCCACTTTCCATCAGCCCGCCCCCTTCTCTCTCCTTCCATCACCCCGCCCCATTCTCCCTCCTTCCATCACCCTGCCCCATTCTCCCGCTTTCCATCAGCCCGCCCCATTCTCCCGCTTTCCATCACCCCTCCCCTTTCTCCCGCTTTCCATCTCCCCTCCCCATTCTCCCGCTTTCCATCACCCCGCCCCATTCTCCCGCTTTCCATCACCCCGCCCCATTCTTCCGCTTCCCATCATCCCGCCCCATTCCCCCGCTTTCCATCATCCATCCCCATTCTCCCTCCTTCCATCACCCCGCTCCATTCTCTCGCTTTCCATCACCGCGCCCCATTCTCCCGCTTTCCATCACCCCAACCCATTCTCCCGCTTTCCATCACCCTGCCCCATTCTCCCTCCTTCCATCACCCCGCCCCATTCTCCCGCTTTCCATCACCCCGCCCCATTCTCCCTCCTTCCATCACCCTGCCCCACTCTCCCTCATTCCATCACCCTGCCCCATTCTCCCGCTTTCCATCACCCCGCCCCATTCTCCCGCTTCCCATAACCCCACCCTATTCCCCCGCTTTCCATCACCCCGCCACATTTTCCCACTTTCCATCACCCCGCCCCCTTCTCTCTCCTTCCATCACCCCGCCCCATTCTCCCTCCTTCCATCAACCCGCCCCATTCTCCCGCTTTCCATCAGCCCACCCCATTCTCCCGCTTTCCATCACCCCGCCACATTCTCCCACTTTCCATCACCCCGCCCCCTTCTCTCTCCCTCCATCACCCCGCCCCATTCTCCCTCCTTCCATCACCCCGCCCCATTCTCCCGCTTTCCATCAGCCCGCCCCATTCTCCCGCTTTCCATCACCCCTCCCCTTTCTCCCACTTTCCATCTCCCCTCCCCATTCTCCCGCTTTCCATCACCCCGCCCCATTCTCCCGCTTTCCATCACCCCGCCCCATTCTTCCGCTTCCCATCATCCCGCCCCATTCCCCCGCTTTCCATCACCCCTCCCCATTCTCCCTCCTTCCATCACCCTGCCCCATTCTCTCGCTTTCCATCACCCCGCCCCATTCTCCCGCTTTCCATCACCCCGCCCCATTCTCCCGCTTTCCATCACCCCAGCCCATTCTTCCTCCTTCCATCACCCCGCCCCATTCTCCCGCTTTCCATCACCCCGCCCTATTCTCCCTCCTTCCATCACCCCGCCCCATTCTCCCTAATTCCATCACCCCGCCCCATTCTCCCGCTTTCCATCACCCCGCCCCATTCTCCCTCCTTCCATCAACCCGCCCCATTCTCCCTCATTCCATCACCCCGCCCCATTCTCCCGCTTTCCATCATCCTGCCCCATTCTCCCTCCTTCCATCATCCCGCTCCATTCTCCCGCTTTCCATCACTCCGCCCCATTCTCCCTCCTTCCATCACCCCGCCCCATTCTCCCTCCTTCCATCACCCCGCCCCATTCTCCCGCTTTCCATCAACCCGCCCCATTCTCCTGCATTCCATCACCCCGTCCCATTCTCCCTCCTTCCATCACCCCGCCCCATTCTCCCTCCTTCCATCACCCCACCCCATTCTCCCGCTTTCCATCAGCCCGCCCCATTCTCCCGCTTCCCATAACCCCACCCCCTTCTCCCGCTTTCCATCACCCCGCCACATTCTCCCGCTTTCTATCACCCCGCCTAATTCTCCCTCCTTCCATCACCCTGCCCCATTCTCCCGCTTTCCATCACCCCGCCCCATTCTACCGCTTTCCATCATCCCGCCCCATTCTCCCTCCTTCCATCACCCCGCCCCATTCTCCCGCTTTCCATCACTCCGCCCCATTCTCCCTCCTTCCATCACCCCGCCCCATTCTCCCTCCTTCCATCACCCCCCCCATTCTACCGCTTTCCATCACCCCGCCCCATTCTCCCGCTTCCCATAACCCCACTCCATTCTCCCGCTTTTCATCACCCCGCCACATTTTCCCACTTTCCATCACCCCGCCCCCTTCTCTCTCCTTCCATCACCTCGCCCCATTCTCCCTCCTTCCATCACCCCGCCCCATTCTCCCGCTTTCCATCAGCCCGCCCCATTCTCCCGCTCTCCATCACCCCGCCCCTTTCTCCCGCTTTCCATCTCCCCGCCCCATTCTCCCGCTTTCCATCACCCCGCTCCATTCTCCCGCTTTCCATCACCCCGCCCCATTCTTCCGCTTCCCATCATCCCGCCCCTTTTCCCCGCTTTCCATCACCCCTCCCCATTCTCCCTCCTTCCATCACCCCGCCCCATTCTCCCGCTTTCCATCACACCGCCTCAATCTTCTGCTTTCCATCACCCCGCCCCGTTCTCCCGCTTTCCATCACCCTACCCCATTCACCCGCTTTCCATCACCTCGCCCCATTCTCCCGCTTTCCATCACCCCGCCCCATTCTCCCGCTTTCCATCACCCTGCCCCATTCACCCGCTTTCCATCACCCGCCCCATTCTCCCGCTTTCCATCACCCCGCCCCATTCTCCCGCTTTCCATCACCCCACCCCATTCTCCCGCTTTCCATCCCCCCGCCCCATTCTCCCGCTTTCCATCACCCCGCCCCATTCTCCCGCTTTCCATCACCCTGACCCATTCTCCCACTTTCCATCACCCCGCCCCATTCTCCCTCCTTCCATCACCCCGCCTCATTCTCCCTCCTTCCATAACCCCGCCCCATTCTCCCGCTTTCCATCATCCCGCCCCATTCTCCCTCCTTCCATCACCCCGCCCCATTCTCCCGCTTTCCATCACCCCGCCCCATTCTCCCGCTTTCCATCACCTCGCCCCATTCTCCCGCTTTCCATCACTCCGCCCCATTCTCCCGCATTCCATCAGCCCGCCCCATTCTCACTCTTTCCATCACCCCACCCCATTCTCCCTCCGTCCATCACCCCGCCCCATTCGCCTGATTTCCATCGCACCGCCCAATTCTCCCGTTTTCCATCACCCCGCCCCATTCTCCCACTATCCATCACCCCGCCTCATTATCCCGCTTTCCATCACCCCGCCCCATTCTCTCGCTTTCCATCACCCCGCCCCATTCTCTCGCTTTCCATCAACCCGCCCCATTCTCCCGCTTTCCATCACCCCGCCCCATTCTCCTGCTTTCCATCATCCCACGCCATTCTCCCTCCTTCCATCGCCCCGCCCCTTTCTCCCGCTTTCCATCGCCCTGCCCCATTCTCCCGCTTTCCATCACCCGGCCCCATTCTCCCGCTTTCCATCACCTCGCCCCATTCTCCCGCTTTCCATCACCCCGCCCCATTCTCCCAATCTCCATCACCCCGCCCCATTCTCCCTCCTTCCATCACCCCGCCCCATTCTCCCTCCTTCCATCACCCCGCCCCATTCTCCCGCTTTCCATCACCCCGCCCCATTCTCCCGCTTTCCATCACCCCGCCCCATTCTCCCGCTTTCCATCACCCCGCCCCATTCTCCCGCTTTCCATCACCCCGCCCCATTCTCCCTCCTTCCACCACCCCGCCCCATTCTCCCGCTTTCCATCACCCCGCCCCATTCTCTCGCTTTCCATCACCCCGCCCCATTCTCCCGCTTTCCATCACCCCGCCCCATTCTCCCTCCTTAACCCCGCCCCATTCTCCCTCCTTCCATCACCCCGCCCTATTCTCCCTCCTTCCATCACCCCGCCCCATTCTCCCTCCTTCTATCACCCCGCCCCATTCTCCCGCTTTCAATCACCCTGCCCCATTCTCCCGCTTTCCATCACCCTGCCCCATTCTAACGCTTTCCATCACCCCGCCCCATTCTCCCGCTTTCCATCACCCCGCCCCAGTCTCCCGCTTTCCATAGCCCCGCCCCATTCTCCTGCTTTCCATCACCGCACCCCGTTCTCCCGCTTTCCATCACCCCGCACCGTTCTCCCGCTTTCCATCACCCCGCCCCATTCTCCCGCTTTCCATCACACCGCCCCATTCTCCCGTTTTCCATCACCCCACCCCAATCTCCCGCTTTCCATCACCCCGCCCCATTCTCCCGCTTTCCATCACCCTGTCCCATTCTCCCGCTTTCCATCACCCCGCCCCATTCTCTCGCTTTCCATCACCTCGCCCCATTCTCTCGCTTTCCATCACCCCGCCCGATTCTCTCGCTTTCCATCACCCCGCCCTATTCTCTCGCTTTCCACCACCCCACCCCATTCTCCCGCTTTCCATCACCCCACCTTATTCTCCCGCGTTCAATCACCCCGCCCCATTCTCCCTCCTTCCTTCACCCCGCCCCATTCCCCCTCCTTCCATCACCCCGCCCCATTCTCCCTCCTTCCATCACCCTGCCCCATTCTCCCGCTTTCCATCACCCCGCCCCATTCTCCCGCTTTCCATCACCCCGCCCCATTCTCCCGCTTTCAATCACCCCGCCCCATTCTCCCTCCTTCCATCACCCCGCCCCATTCTCCCAATTTCCATCACCCTGCCCCATTCTCCCGCTTTCGATCACCCCGCCCCATTCTCCTACTTTCCATCACCCTGCCCCCTTCTCCCGCTTTCCATCACCCCGCCCGATTCTCCTTCCTTCCATCACCTCGCCCCATCCTCCCTTCTTCCATCAACCCGCCTGATTCTCCCTACTTCCATCACCCCGCCCGATTCTCCGTACTTCCATCACCCCGCCTCATTTTCCCGCTTTCCATCACCCCGCCCCATTCTCCTTCCTTCCATCACCTCGCCCCATTCTCCCTCCTTCCATCACCCCGCCCCATTCTCACTCCTTCCATCACCCCGCCCCATTCTCCCGCTTTCAATCACCCCGCCCCATTCTCCAGCTTTCCATCACCCAGCCCCCTTATCCTGCTTTCCATCACCCCTCCCCATTCACCCGCTTTCCATCACCCTGCCCCATTCTCAAGAAATCCATCAGCCCGCCCCATTCTCCCTCCTTCCATCACCCCGCCCCATTCTCCCTCCTTCCATCACCCCCCCCTTTCTCCCTCCTTTCATAACCCCGCCCCATTCTCCCGCTTTCCATCACCCTGCCCCATTCTCCCGCTTTCCATCACCCCGCCTCATTCTCCCGCTTTCCCTCACTCCGCCACAGTCTCCCGCTTTCCATAGCCCCGCCCCATTCTCCCGCTTTCCATCACCCCGCCCCCTTCTCCCGCTTTCCATCACTGCGCCCCATTCTCCCTCCTTCCATCACCCCGCCCCATTCTCCCGCTTTCCATCACCCTGCCCCATTCTCCCGTTTTCCATCACCTCGCCCCATTCTCCCACTTTCCATCACCCCGCCCCATTCTCCCGCTTTCCATCACCCCGCCCCATTCTTCCGCTTTCCATCACCCCACCCCATAATCCTGCTTTCCATCACCCCGCCCCATTCTCCCTCCTTCCATCACTCCGCCCCATTCTGCCTCATTCTCCCTCCTTCCATCACCTCACCCCATTCTCCCGCTTTCCATCAACCCGCCCCATTCTCCCGCTTTCCATCACCCCGCCCCATTCTCCCGCTTTCCATCACTCCGCCCCATTCTCCCGCTTTCCATCACCCCGCCCCATTCTCCTGCTTTCCATCACCCCGCCCCATTCTCCCGCTTTCCATCACCCCTCCCCATTCTCTTGCTTTCCATCACCTCGCCCCATTCTCCTGCTTTCCATCACCTCGCCCCATTCTCCCGCTTTCCACAACCCCACCCCATTCTCACGCTTTCCATCACCCTGCCCTATTCTCCCGCGTTCAATCACCTTGCCCCATTCTCCCTCCTTCCATCACCCCACCCCATTCTCCCTCCTTCCATCACCCCGCCCCATTCTCCCTCCTTCCATCACCCCGCCCCATTCTCTCGCTTTCCATCACCCCGCCCCATTCTCCCGTTTTCCATCACCCCGCCCCATTCTCCTTCCTTCCATCACCCCACCCCATTCTCCCGCTTTCCATCACCCCGCCCCATTCTCCCGCTTTCCATCACCCCGCCCCATTCTCCCGCTTTCCATCACCCCGCCCCATTCTCCCTCCTTCCATAACCCCGCCCCATTCTCCCTCCTTCCATCACCCCGCCCCATTCTCCCTCCTTCCATCACCCCGCCCCATTCTCCCTCCGTCCATCACCCCGCCCCATTCTCCCGCTTTCCATCACCCCGCCCCATTCTCCTGTTTTCCATCACCCCGCCCCATTCTCCCGCTTTCCATCACCCCGCCCCATTCTCCCTCCTTCCATCACCCCGCCCCATTCTCCCGAATTCCATCACCCTGCCCCATTCTCCCGCTTTCCATCACCCTGCCGCATTCTCCCGCTTTCCATCACCCGGCGCCATTCTCCCTCCTTCCACCACCCCGCCCCATTCTCCCGATTTATATCACCCTGGCCCATTCTCCCTCCTTCCATCACCCCGCCCCATTCTCCCTCCTTCCATCACCCCGCCCCATTCTCCCGCTTTCCATCACCCCGCCCCATTCTCCCTCCTTCCATCACCCTGCCCCATCCTCCCTCCTTCCATTACCCCGCCCCATTCTCCCGCTTTCCATCACCCCGCCCCGTTCTCCTGCTTTCTATCACCCCGCCCCATTCTCCCACTTTCCATCACCCCGTCCCATTTTCCCGCTTTCCCTCACCCCGCCCCGGTCTTCCGCTTTCCATAGCCCCGCCCCATTCTACTGCTTTCCATCATCCCGCCCCCTTCTACTGCTTTCCATCACCACACCCCATTCTCCCGCTTTCCATCATCCTGCCCTATTCTCCCGCTTTCCATCACCCCGCCCCATTCTCCCGCTTTCCATCACCCCGCCCCATTCTCCCGCTTTCCATCACTCCGCCCCATTCTCCAGCTTTCCATCACCCAGCCCAATTCTCCTGCTTTCCATCACCCCGCCCCATTCTCCCGCTTTCCATCACCCCGCCCCATTCTCCCGCTTTCCATCACCCCGCCCCATTCTCCCTCCTTCTTTCACCCCGCCCCATTGTTTCGCTTTCCATCACCCCGCCCCATTTTCCCGCTTTCCATCACCCCGCCCCATTCTCCCACTTTCCATCACCCCACCCAATTCTCCCGCTTTCCATCACCCCACCCTATTCTCCCGCGTTCAATCACCCCGCCCCATTCTCCCTCCTTCCATCACCCCGCCTCATTCTTCCTCCTTCCATCACCCCGCCCCATTCTCCCTCCTTCCATCACCCCGCGCCATTCTCCCGCTTTCCATCACCCTGCCCCATTCTCCCGCTTTCCATCACCCTGCCCCATTCTCCCGCGTTCAATCACCCCGCCCCATTCTCCCTCCTTCCATCACCCCGCCTCATTCTCCCTCCTTCCATCACCCCGCCCCATTCTCCCTCCTTCCATCACCCCGCCCCATTCTCCTACTTTCCATCACCCTGCCCCTTTGTCCCGCTTTCCATCACCCCGCCCCATTCTCCCTCCTTCCATCACCCCGCCCCATCCTCCATGGAATATGGGAGAAGGGGATGGAATCTAGGAGAAGGGGATGGAATGTTGGAGAAGTGGATGGAATCTGGGAGAAGCGGATGGAATCGGGGAGAAGGGGATGGAATCTGGGAGAAGGGGATGGAATGAGGGACAAAGGGATGGAATCTGGGAAAAGGGGATGGAACCTGGGAGAAGGGGATGGAATCTGGGAGAAGGGGATGGAATATGGGAGAAGGGGATGGAATCTGGGAGAAGGGAATGGAATCTCGGAGAAGGGGATGGAATTTGGGAGAAGGGGATGGGATCAGGGAGAAGGGGATGGAATCGTGGAGAAGGGATGAAATCTGGGAGAAGGGGATAGAATTTGGGAGAAGGGGGTGGAATCTGGAGAAGGGGATGGAATCTGGGAAAAGGGGATGGAATCTGGGAGAAGGGGATGGAATCTGGGAGAAGGGGATGGAATTTGGAAGAAGGGGATGGAATTTGGGAAAAGGGGATGGAATCTGGGAGAAGGGGATGGAATCTAGGAGAAGGGGATGGAATCTGGGAGAAGGGGATGGAATCTGGGAGAAGGGGATGGAATCTGAGAGAAGGGGATGAAATCTGGGTGAAGGGGATGGAATATGGGGGAAGGGGATGGAATCTGGGAGAAGGGGATGGAATCTGGGAGAAGGGGATGGAATCTGGGAGAAGGGGATGGAATCTGGGAGAAGGGGATGGAATCTGGGAGAAGGGGATGGGATCAGGGAGAAGGGGATGGAATCGGGGAGAAGGGATGAAATCTGGGAGAAGGGGATAGAATTTGGGAGAAGGGGATGGAATCTGGAGAAGGGGATGGAATCTGGGAGAAGGGCATTGATTCTAGGAGAAGGGGATGGAATCTGGGAGAAGGGGATGGAATCTGGGAGAAGGGGATGGAATCTGGGAGAAGGGGATGGAATCTGGGAGAAGGGGATGGAATCTTGGAGAAGGGGGTGGAATCTCGGAGAAGGAGATGGAATCTAGGAGAAGGGGATGGAACTTGAGAGAAGGGGATGGAATCTGGAGAAGGGGATAGAATCTGGGAGAAGGGGATGAAATCAGGGAGAATGAGATGGAATTTGGGAGAAGGGGATGGAATCTGGGAGAAGGGGATGGAATCTGGGAGAAGGGGATGGAATCTAGGAGAAGGGGATGGAATCTAGGAGAAGGGGATGGCATGAGGGAGAAGGGGATGGAATCTGGGAGAAGGGGATGGAATCTGGGAGAAGGGGATGGAATCAGTAAGAACGGGATGAAACTTGGGAGAAGGGGATGGAGTCTTGGAGAAGGGGATGGAATTTGGGAGAAGGGGATGGAATCTGGGAGAAGGGGATGGAATCGGGGAGAAGGGGATGGAATCAGGGAGAAGGGGATGGAATGAGGGACAAAGGGATGGAATCTGGGAAAAGGGGATGGAACCTGGGAGAAGGGGATGGCATCTAGGAGAAGGGGATGGAATTTGGGAGAGTAGATGGAATTTGGGAGAAGGGGATGGAATCTGGGAGAAGGGGTTGGAATCTGGGAGAAGGGGATGGGATCAGGGAGAAGGGAATAGAATCAGGGAGAAGGGATGAAATCAGGGAGAAGGGGATAGAATTTGGGAGAAGGGGATGGAATCTGGAGAAGGGGATGGAATCTGGGAGAAGGGGATGGAATTTGGGAAAAGGGGATGGAATCTGGGAGAAGGGGATGGAATAGGAGAAGGGGATGGAATCTAGGAGAAGGGGATGGAATCTGGGAGAAGGGGATGGAATCTGGATGAAGGGGACGGAATATGGGAGAAGGGGATGGAATTTGGGAAAAGGGGATGGAATCAGGGAGAAGGGGATGGAATCAGGGAGAAGGGGATGGAGTCCGGGAGAAGGGGATGGAATCTGGGAGAAGGGGGTGGAATCAGGGAGAAGGGGATGGAATCCGGGAGAAGGGGATGGAATCCGGGAGAAGGGGATGGAATCTGGGAGAAGGGGATGGAATCTGGGAGAAGGGGATGGAATCTGGGAGAAGGGGATGGAATCTGGGAGAAGGGGATGGAATCTGGGAGAAGGGGATGGAATCTGGGAGAAGGGGGTGGAATCTGGGAGAAGGGGATGGAATCTGGGAGAAGAGGATAGAATCTGGGAGAAGAGATGGAATCTGGGAGAAGGGGATGGAATCTGGGAGAAGGGGATGGTATCTGGGTGAAGGGGATGGAATATGGGAGAAGGGGATGGAATATGGGAGAAGGGGATGGAATCTGGGAGAAAGGGATGGAATCTAGGAGAAGGGGATGGAATCAAAGAGAAGGGGATGGAGTCCGGGAGAAGAGGATGGAATATGGGAGAAGGGGGTGGAATCAGGGAGAAGGGGATGGAATCCCGGAGAAGGGGATGGAATCTGGGAGAAGGGGATGGAATCCGGGAGAAGGGGATGGAATCTGGGAGAAGGGGATGGAATCAGGGAGAAGGGGATGGAATCAAGGAGAAGGGGATGGATTTTGGGAGAAGAGGATGGAATCAGGGGGAAGGGGTTGGAATCTGGGAGAAGGGGATGGAATCTGGGAGAAGGGGATGGAATCTGGGAGAAGGGGATAGAATCTAGGAGAAGGGGATAGAATCTGGGAGAAGGGGATGGAATCTGGGAGAAGGGGATGGAATTAGGGAGAAGGGGATGGAATCTAGGGGAAGGGGATGGAATCTGGGAGACGGGGATGGAATCTGGGAGATGGGGATGGAATCTGGGAGAAGGGGATGGAATCTGGGAGAAGGGGATGGAATGAGGGAGAAGGGGATGGAATCTGGGAGAAGGGGATGGAATCTGGGTGAAGGGGATGGAATCTGGGAGAAGGGGATGGAATCTGGGAGAAGGGGATGGAATCTGGGAGAAGGGGATGGAATGAGGGAGAAGGGGATGGAATCGGGGAGAAGGGGATGGAATCTAGGAGAAGGGGATGGAATTTAGGAGAAGGGGATGGAATCTGGGAGAAGGGGATGCAATCAGGGAGAAGGGGATGGAATCGGGGAGAAGGGGATGGAATCAAAGAGAAGGGGATGAAATTTGGGAGAATGGGATGGAATTTTGGAGAAGGAGATGGAATCTGGGAGAAGGGAATGGAATCTGGGAGAAGGGGATGGAATCTGGGAGAAGGGGATGGAATCTGGGAGAAGGGGATGGAATCAGGGAGAAGGGGATGGAATCTGGGAGAAGGGGATGGAATCGGGGAGAAGGGGATGGAATCTGGGAGAAGGGGATGGAATCTGGAAGAAGGGGATGGAATCTGGGAGAAGGGGATGAAATCAGGGAGAAGGTGATGGAATCGGGGAGAAGGGATAGAATCTGGGAGAAGGTGATGGAATCTGGGAGAAGGGGATGGAATCTGGGAGAAGGGGATAGAATCAGGGAGAAGGTGATGGAATCTGGGAGAAGGGGATGGAATCTGGGAGAAGGGGACGGAATCTGGGAGAAGGGGATGGAATTTGGGAGAAGGGGATGGAATCGAGGAGAAGGGGATGGAATCTGGGAGAAGGGGATGGAATCTGGGAGAAGGAGATGGAATCTGGGAGAAGGGGATGGAATGAGGGAGAAGGGGATGGAATCGGGGAAAAGGGGATGGAATCTGGGAGAAGGGGATGGAATTTAGGAGAAGGGGATGGAATCTGGGAGAAGGGGATGGAATTAGGGAGAAGGGGATGGAATCTGGGACAAGGGGATGGAAATTGGGACAAGGGGAAGGGGATGGAATCTGGGAGAAAGGGATGGAATCTGGGAGAAGGGGATGGAATTTGGGAGAAGGGGATGGAATCAGGGAGAAGGGGATGGAATCTGGAAGAAGGGGATGGAATCTGGGAGAAGGGGGTGGAATCTAGGAGAAGGGGATGGAATCTGGGAGAAGGGGATAGAATCTGGGAGAAGGGGATGGAATCTGGGAGAAGGGGATGGAATCTGGGAGAAGGGGATGGAATCTGGGAGAAGGGGATGGAATCAGGGAGAAGGGGATGGAATCTGGGAGAAGGAGATGGAATCTGGGAGAAGGGGATGGAATATGGGAGAAGGGGATGGAATCTGGGAGAAGGGGATGGAATCGGGGAGAAAGGGATGGAATCTGGGAGAAGGGGATGGAATCTTGGAGAAGGGATGGAATCTAGGAGAAGGGGATGGAATCGGGGAGAAGGGGATGGAATGAGGGAGAAGGGAATGGAATCTTGGAGAAGGGGATGGAATCTGGGAGAAGGGGATGGAATCGGGAAGAAGTGGATGGAATGAGGGAGAAGGGGATGGAATCTGGGAGAAGGGGATGGAATCTGGGAGAAGGGGATGGAATCTGGGAGAAGGGGATAGAATCTGGGAGAAAGGGATGGAATCTGGGAGAAGGGGATGGAATCTGGGAGAAGGGGGTGGAATCTGGGAGAAGGGGATGGAATATGGGAGAAGGGGATGGAATCAGGGAGAAGGGGATGGAATCTGGGAGAAGGGGATGGAATATGGAAGAAGGGGATGGAATCTGGGAGAAGGGATGGAATCTGGGAGAAGGGGATGGAATCGGGGAGAAGGGAATGGAAGGAGGGAGAAGGGGATGGAATCTTGGAGAAGGGGATGGAATCTAGGAGAAGGGGATGGAATCGGGGAGAAGGGGATGGAATGAGGGAGAAGGGAATGGAATCTTGGAGAAGGGGATGGAATCTGGGAGAAGGGGATGGAATCGGGAAGAAGTGGATGGAATGAGGGAGAAGGGGATGGAATCTGGGAGAAGGGGATGGAATCTGGGAGAAGGGGATGGAATCTGGGAGAAGGGGATAGAATCTGGGAGAAAGGGATGGAATCTGGGAGAAGGGGATGGAATCAGGGAGAAGGGGGTGGAATCTGGGAGAAGGGGATGGAATATGGGAGAAGGGGATGGAATCGGGGAGAAAGGGATGGAATCTGGGAGAAGGGGATGGAATCTTGGAGAAGGGATGGAATCTAGGAGAAGGGGATGGAATCGGGGAGAAGGGGATGGAATGAGGGAGAAGGGAATGGAATCTTGGAGAAGGGGATGGAATCTGGGAGAAGGGGATGGAATCGGGAAGAAGTGGATGGAATGAGGGAGAAGGGGATGGAATCTGGGAGAAGGGGATGGAATCTGGGAGAAGGGGATGGAATCTGGGAGAAGGGGATAGAATCTGGGAGAAAGGGATGGAATCTGGGAGAAGGGGATGGAATCTGGGAGAAGGGGGTGGAATCTGGGAGAAGGGGATGGAATATGGGAGAAGGGGATGGAATCAGGGAGAAGGGGATGGAATCTGGGAGAAGGGGATGGAATATGGAAGAAGGGGATGGAATCTGGGAGAAGGGATGGAATCTGGGAGAAGGGGATGGAATCGGGGAGAAGGGGATGGAAGGAGGGAGAAGGGGATGGAATCTTGGAGAAGGGGATGGAATCTAGGAGAAGGGGATGGAATCGGGGAGAAGGGGATGGAATGAGGGAGAAGGGAATGGAATCTTGGAGAAGGGGATGGAATCTGGGAGAAGGGGATGGAATCGGGAAGAAGTGGATGGAATGAGGGAGAAGGGGATGGAATCTGGGAGAAGGGGATGGAATCAGGGAGAAGGGGATGGAATCTGGGAGAAGGGGATGGAATATGGAAGAAGGGGATGGAATCTGGGAGAAGGGATGGAATCTGGGAGAAGGGGATGGAATCGGGGAGAAGGGGATGGAAGGAGGGAGAAGGGGATGGAATCTTGGAGAAGGGGATGGAATCTGGGAGAAGGGGATGTAATCGGGGAGAAGGGGATGGAATGAGGGATTTAGGGTTTAGAATCTGGGAGAAGGGGATGGAATCTGGGAGAAGGGGATGGAATCTGGGAGAAGGGGATGGAATCTGGGAGAAGGGGATGGAATCTGGGAGAAGGGGATGGAATCTGGGAGAAGGGGGTGGAATCTGGGAGAAGGGGATGAAATCTGGGAGAAGGGGATGGAATCTGGGAGAAGGGGATGGAATCTGGGAGAAGGGGATGGAATCTGGGAGAAGGGGATGGAATCAGGGAGAAGGGGATGGAATCTGGGAGGAGGGGATGGAATCTGGGAGAAGGGGGTGGAATCTGGGAGAAGGGGATGGAATCTGGGAGAAGGGGATAGAATCTGGGAGAAGGGGATGGAATCTGGGAGAAGGGGATGGAATCAGGGAGAAGGGGATGGAATCTGGGAGAAGGGGATGGAATCTGGGAGAAGGGGATGGAATCTGGGAGAAGGGGATGGAATATGGGAGAAGGGGGTGGAATCTGGGAGAAGGGGATAGAATCTGGGAGAAGGGGATGGAATCTGGGAGAAGGTGATGGAATATGGGAGAAGGGGGTGGAATCTGGGAGAACGGGGTGGAATCTAGGAGAATGGGATGGAATATGGGAGAAGGGGATGGAATCGAGGAGAAGGGGATGGAATGAGGGAGAAGGGGATGGAATCTGGGAGAAGGGGATGGAATCTGGGAGAAGGGGATGGAATCAGGGAGAAGGGGATGGAATCGGGAAGAAGGGGATGGAATCTGGGAGAAGGGGGTGGAATATAGGAGATGGGGATGGAATCTGGGAGAAGGGGATAGAATCTGCGAGAAGGGGATGGAATCTGGGAGAAGGGGATGGAATCTGGGAGAAGGGGATGGAATCGGGGAGAAAGGGATGGAATCTGGGAGAAGGGGATGGAATCTTGGAGAAGGGATGGAATCTAGGAGAAGGGGATGGAATCTGGGAGAAGGGGATGGAATCTGGGAGAAGGGGATGGAATCTGGGAGAAGGGGATGGAATCTGGGAGAAGGGGGTGGAATCAGGGAGAAGGGGATAGAATCTAGGAGAAGGGGATGGAATCTGGGAGAAGGGGGTGGAATCTGGGAGAAGGGGATGGAATCTGGGAGAAGGGGATGGAATCTGGGAGAAGGGGATGGAATCTGGGAGAAGGGGATGGAATCAGGGAGAAGGGGATGGAATCTAGGAGAAGGGGATGGTATCAGGGAGAAGGGGATGGAATCTGGGAGAAGGGGATGGAATCTGGGAGAAGGGGATGGAATCTGGGAGAAGGGGATAGAATCTGGGAGAAGGGTATAGAATCTAGGAGAAGGGGATGAAATCAGGGAGAATGGGATGGAATTTGGGAGAAGGGGATGGAATCTGGGAGAAGGGGATGGAATCTGGGAGAAGGGGGTGGAATCTGGGAGAAGGGGATGAACTCTGGGAGAAGGGGATGGAATCTGGGAGAAGGGGATAGAATCTGAGAGAAGGGGATGGAATCTAGGAGAAGGGGATAGAATTGGGAGAAGGGGATGGAATCTGGGAGAAGGGGATGGAATCTGGGAGAAGGGGATGGAGTTAGGGAGAAGGGGATGGAATCTGGGAGAAGGGGATGGAATTAGGGAGAAGGGGATGGAATCTGGGAGAAGGGGATGGAATCTGGGAGCAGGGGATGGAATCGGGGAGAAGGGGATGGAATGAGGGAGAAGGGGATGGAATCTGGGAGAAGGGGATGGAATCTGGGAGAAGGGGATGGAATCTGGGAGAAGGGGATGGAATCTGGGAGAAGGGGATGGAATCTAGGAGAAGGGGATGGTATCAGGGAGAAGGGGATGGAATCTGGGAGAAGGGGATGGAATCTGGGAGAAGGGGATGGAATCTGGGAGAAGGGGATAGAATCTGGGAGAAGGGTATAGAATCTGGGAGAAGGGGATGAAGTCATGGAGAATGGGATGGAATTTGGGAGAAGGGGATGGAATCTGGGAGAAGGGGATGGAATCTGGGAGAAGGGGGTGGAATCTGGGAGAAGGGGATGAACTCTGGGAGAAGGGGATGGAATCTGGGAGAAGGGGATAGAATCTGGGAGAAGGGGATGGAATCTAGGAGAAGGGGATAGAATCTGGGAGAAGGGGATGGAATCTGGGAGAAGGGGATGGAATCTGGGAGAAGGGGATGGAGTCAGGGAGAAGGGGATGGAATCTGGGAGAAGGGGATGGAATCTGGGAGAAGGGGATGGAATCTGGGAGAAGGGGATGAAATTAGGGAGAAGGGGATGGAATCAGGGAGAAGGGGATGGAATCTGGGAGAAGGGGGTGGAATCTGGGAGAAGGGGGTGGAATCTGGGAGAAGGGGATGGAATCTGGGAGAAGGGGATGGAATCTGGGAGAAGGGGATGGAATATGGGAGAAGGGGATGGAATCTGGGAGAAGGGGATGGAATCTGGGAGAAGAGGATGGAATCCGGGAGAAGGGGATGGAATCTGGGAGAAGGGGATGGAATCTGGGAGAAGGGGGTGGAATATGGGAGAAGGGGATGGAATCTAGGAGAAGGGGATGGAATCAGGGAGAAGGGGATGGAATCTGGGAGAAGGGGATGGAATCTGGGAGAAGGGGATGGAATCTGGGAGAAGGGGATGGAATATGGGAGAAGGGGATGGAATCTGGGAGCAGGGGATGGAATCGGGGAGAAGGGGATGGAATGAGGGAGAAGGGGATGGAATCTGGGAGAAGGGGATGGAATCTGGGAGAAGGGGATGAAATTTGGGAGAAGGGGATGGAATCTGGGAGAAGGGGATGGAATCTAAGAGAAGGGGATGGAATCTGGGAGAAGGGGTTGGAATCTGAGAGAAGGGGATGGAATCTGGGAGAAGGGGATGGAATCTGGGAGAAGGGGGTGAAATGTAGGAGAATGGGATGGAATCTGGGAGAAGGGGATAGAATCTAGGAGAAGGGGATGGAATCTGGGAGAAGGGGATGGAATCTGGGAGAAGGGGATGGAATCTGGGAGAAGGGGATGGAATCAGGGAGAAGGGGATGGAATCTGGGAGAAGGGGATGGAATCTGAGAGAAGGGGATGGAATATGGGAGAAGTGGATGGAATCTGGGAGAAGGGGATGGAATCAGGGAGAAGGGGATGGAATCTGGGAGAAGGGGATGGAATCTTGGAGAAGGGATGGAATCTGGGAGAAGGGGATGGAATCGGGGAGAAGGGGATGGAATGAGGGAAAAGGGGATGGAATCTTGGAGAAGGGGATGGAATCTGGGAGAAGGGGATGGAATCGGGAAGAAGGGGATGGAATGAGGGAGAAGGGGATGGAATCTGGGAGAAGGGGATGGAATCTGGGAGAAGGGGATGGAATCTGGGAGAAGGGGATAGAATATGGGAGAAGGGGATGGAATCTGGGACAAGGTGATGGAATCTGGGAGAAGGGGGTGGAATCTGGGAGAACGGGGTGGAATCTAGGAGAATGGGATGGAATATGGGAGAAGGGGATGGAATCGGGGAGAAGGGGATGGAATGAGGGAGAAGGGGATGGAATCTGGGAGAAGGGGATGGAATATGGGAGAAGGGGATGGAATCTGGGAGAAGGGGATGGAATCTGGGAGAAGGGGATGGAATATGGGAGAAGGGGGTGGAATCTGGGAGAAGGGGATAGAATCTGGGAGAAGGGGATGGAATCTGGGAGAAGGTGATGGAATATGGGAGAAGGGGGTGGAATCTGGGAGAACGGGGTGGAATCTAGGAGAATGGGATGGAATATGGGAGAAGGGGATGGAATCGAGGAGAAGGGGATGGAATGAGGGAGAAGGGGATGGAATCTGGGAGAAGGGGATGGAATCTGGGAGAAGGGGATGGAATCAGGGAGAAGGGGATGGAATCGGGAAGAAGGGGATGGAATCTGGGAGAAGGGGGTGGAATATAGGAGATGGGGATGGAATCTGGGAGAAGGGGATAGAATCTGCGAGAAGGGGATGGAATCTGGGAGAAGGGGATGGAATCTGGGAGAAGGGGATGGAATCGGGGAGAAAGGGATGGAATCTGGGAGAAGGGGATGGAATCTTGGAGAAGGGATGGAATCTAGGAGAAGGGGATGGAATCTGGGAGAAGGGGATGGAATCTGGGAGAAGGGGATGGAATCTGGGAGAAGGGGATGGAATCTGGGAGAAGGGGGTGGAATCAGGGAGAAGGGGATAGAATCTGGGAGAAGGGGATGGAATCTGGGAGAAGGGGGTGGAATCTGGGAGAAGGGGATGGAATCAGGGAGAAGGGGATGGAATCTGGGAGAAGGGGATGGAATCTGGGAGAAGGGGATGGAATCAGGGAGAAGGGGATGGAATCTAGGAGAAGGGGATGGTATCAGGGAGAAGGGGATGGAATCTGGGAGAAGGGGATGGAATCTGGGAGAAGGGGATGGAATCTGGGAGAAGGGGATAGAATCTGGGAGAAGGGTATAGAATCTGGGAGAAGGGGATGAAATCAGGGAGAATGGGATGGAATTTGGGAGAAGGGGATGGAATCTGGGAGAAGGGGATGGAATCTGGGAGAAGGGGGTGGAATCTGGGAGAAGGGGATGAACTCTGGGAGAAGGGGATGGAATCTGGGAGAAGGGGATAGAATCTGAGAGAAGGGGATGGAATCTAGGAGAAGGGGATAGAATTGGGAGAAGGGGATGGAATCTGGGAGAAGGGGATGGAATCTGGGAGAAGGGGATGGAGTTAGGGAGAAGGGGATGGAATCTGGGAGAAGGGGATGGAATTAGGGAGAAGGGGATGGAATCTGGGAGAAGGGGATGGAATCTGGGAGCAGGGGATGGAATCGGGGAGAAGGGGATGGAATGAGGGAGAAGGGGATGGAATCTGGGAGAAGGGGATGGAATCTGGGAGAAGGGGATGGAATCTGGGAGAAGGGGATAGAATCTGGGAGAAGGGTATAGAATCTGGGAGAAGGGGATGAAGTCATGGAGAATGGGATGGAATTTGGGAGAAGGGGATGGAATCTGGGAGAAGGGGATGGAATCTGGGAGAAGGGGGTGGAATCTGGGAGAAGGGGATGAACTCTGGGAGAAGGGGATGGAATCTGGGAGAAGGGGATAGAATCTGGGAGAAGGGGATGGAATCTAGGAGAAGGGGATAGAATCTGGGAGAAGGGGATGGAATCTGGGAGAAGGGGATGGAATCTGGGAGAAGGGGATGGAGTCAGGGAGAAGGGGATGGAATCTGGGAGAAGGGGATGGAATCTGGGAGAAGGGGATGGAATCTGGGAGAAGGGGATGAAATTAGGGAGAAGGGGATGGAATCAGGGAGAAGGGGATGGAATCTGGGAGAAGGGGGTGGAATCTGGGAGAAGGGGGTGGAATCTGGGAGAAGGGGATGGAATCTGGGAGAAGGGGATGGAATCTGGGAGAAGGGGATGGAATATGGGAGAAGGGGATGGAATCTGGGAGAAGGGGATGGAATCTGGGAGAAGAGGATGGAATCCGGGAGAAGGGGATGGAATCTGGGAGAAGGGGATGGAATCTGGGAGAAGGGGGTGGAATATGGGAGAAGGGGATGGAATCTAGGAGAAGGGGATGGAATCAGGGAGAAGGGGATGGAATCTGGGAGAAGGGGATGGAATCTGGGAGAAGGGGATGGAATCTGGGAGAAGGGGATGGAATATGGGAGAAGGGGATGGAATCTGGGAGCAGGGGATGGAATCGGGGAGAAGGGGATGGAATGAGGGAGAAGGGGATGGAATCTGGGAGAAGGGGATGGAATCTGGGAGAAGGGGATGAAATTTGGGAGAAGGGGATGGAATCTGGGAGAAGGGGATGGAATCTAAGAGAAGGGGATGGAATCTGGGAGAAGGGGTTGGAATCTGAGAGAAGGGGATGGAATCTGGGAGAAGGGGATGGAATCTGGGAGAAGGGGGTGAAATGTAGGAGAATGGGATGGAATCTGGGAGAAGGGGATAGAATCTAGGAGAAGGGGATGGAATCTGGGAGAAGGGGATGGAATCTGGGAGAAGGGGATGGAATCTGGGAGAAGGGGATGGAATCAGAAAGAAGGGGATGGAATCTGGGAGAAGGGGATGGAATCTGAGAGAAGGGGATGGAATATGGGAGAAGTGGATGGAATCTGGGAGAAGGGGATGGAATCAGGGAGAAGGGGATGGAATCTGGGAGAAGGGGATGGAATCTTGGAGAAGGGATGGAATCTGGGAGAAGGGGATGGAATCGGGGAGAAGGGGATGGAATGAGGGAAAAGGGGATGGAATCTTGGAGAAGGGGATGGAATCTGGGAGAAGGGGATGGAATCGGGAAGAAGGGGATGGAATGAGGGAGAAGGGGATGGAATCTGGGAGAAGGGGATGGAATCTGGGAGAAGGGGATGGAATCTGGGAGAAGGGGATAGAATATGGGAGAAGGGGATGGAATCTGGGACAAGGTGATGGAATCTGGGAGAAGGGGGTGGAATCTGGGAGAACGGGGTGGAATCTAGGAGAATGGGATGGAATATGGGAGAAGGGGATGGAATCGGGGAGAAGGGGATGGAATGAGGGAGAAGGGGATGGAATCTGGGAGAAGGGGATGGAATATGGGAGAAGGGGATGGAATCTGGGAGAAGGGGATGGAATCGGGGAGAAGGGGATGGAATGAGGGAGAAGGGGATGGAATCTGGGAGAAGGGGATGGAATCTGGGAGAAGGGGATGGAATCTGGGTGAAGGGGATGGAATCTAAGAGAAGGGGGTGGAATCTAGGAGAAGGGGATGAAATCTGGGAGAAGGGGATGGAATCTGGGAGAAGGGGATGGAATCTGGGAGAAGGGGATGGAATCTGGGAGAAGGGGATGGAATCAGGGAGAAGGAGATGGAATCTTGGAGCAGGGGATGGAATCGGGGAGAAGGGGATGGAATGAGGGAGAAGGGGATGGAATCTGGGAGAAGGGGATGGAATCTGGGAGAAGGGGATGGAATCTGGGAGAAGGGGATGGAATCTGGGAGAAGGGGATGGAATCTAGGAGAAGGGGATGGTATCAGGGGAGGGGATGGAATCTGGGAGAAGGGGATGGAATCTGGGAGAAGGGGATGGAATCTGGGAGAAGGGGATAGAATCTGGGAGAAGGGTATAGAATCTGGGAGAAGGGGATGAAATCATGGAGAATGGGATGGAATTTGGGAGAAGGGGATGGAATCTGGGAGAAGGGGATGGAATCTGGGAGAAGGGGGTGGAATCTGGGAGAAGGGGGTGGAATCTGGGAGAAGGGGATGGAATCTGGGAGCAGGGGATGGAATCGGGGAGAAGGGGATGGAATGAGGGAGAAGGGGATGGAATCTGGGAGAAGGGGATGGAATCTGGGAGAAGGGGATGGAATCTGGGAGAAGGGGATGGAATCTGGGAGAAGGGGATGGAATCTAGGAGAAGGGGATGGTATCAGGGAGAAGGGGATGGAATCTGGGAGAAGGGGATGGAATCTGGGAGAAGGGGATGGAATCTGGGAGAAGGGGATAGAATCTGGGAGAAGGGTATAGAATCTGGGAGAAGGGGATGAAATCATGGAGAATGGGATGGAATTCGGGAGAAGGGGATGGAATCTGGGAGAAGGGGATGGAATCTGGGAGAAGGGGGTGGAATCTGGGAGAAGGGGATGAACTCTGGGAGAAGGGGATGGAATCTGGGAGAAGGGGATAGAATCTGGGAGAAGGGGATGGAATCTAGGAGAAGGGGATAGAATCTGGGAGAAGGGGATGGAATCTGGGAGAAGGGGATGGAATCTGGGAGAAGGGGATGGAGTCAGGGAGAAGGGGATGGAATCTGGGAGAAGGGGATGGAATCTGGGAGAAGGGGATGGAATCTGGGAGAAGGGGATGAAATTAGGGAGAAGGGGATGGAATCAGGGAGAAGGGGATGGAATCTGGGAGAAGGGGGTGGAATCTGGGAGAAGGGGGTGGAATCTGGGAGAAGGGGATGGAATCTGGGAGAAGGGGATGGAATCTGGGAGAAGGGGATGGAATCTAGGAGAAGGGGATGGTATCAGGGAGAAGGGGATGGAATCTGGGAGAAGGGGATGGAATCTGGGAGAAGGGGATGGAATCTGGGAGAAGGGGATAGAATCTGGGAGAAGGGTATAGAATCTGGGAGAAGGGGATGAAATCATGGAGAATGGGATGGAATTTGGGAGAAGGGGATGGAATCTGGGAGAAGGGGATGGAATCTGGGAGAAGGGGGTGGAATCTGGGAGAAGGGGGTGGAATCTGGGAGAAGGGGATGGAATCTGGGAGCAGGGGATGGAATCGGGGAGAAGGGGATGGAATGAGGGAGAAGGGGATGGAATCTGGGAGAAGGGGATGGAATCTGGGAGAAGGGGATGGAATCTGGGAGAAGGGGATGGAATCTGGGAGAAGGGGATGGAATCTAGGAGAAGGGAATGGTATCAGGGAGAAGGGGATGGAATCTGGGAGAAGGGGATGGAATCTGGGAAAAGGGGATGGAATCTGGGAGAAGGGGATAGAATCTGGGAGAAGGGTATAGAATCTGGGAGAAGGGGATGAAATCATGGAGAATGGAATGGAATTTGGGAGAAGGGGATGGAATCTGGGAGAAGGGGATGGAATCTGGGAGAAGGGGGTGGAATCTGGGAGAAGGGGATGAACTCTGGGAGAAGGGGATGGAATCTGGGAGAAGGGGATAGAATCTGGGAGAAGGGGATGGAATCTAGGAGAAGGGGATAGAATCTGGGAGAAGGGGATGGAATCTGGGAGAAGGGGATGGAATCTGGGAGAAGGGGATGGAGTCAGGGAGAAGGGGATGGAATCTGGGAGAAGGGGATGGAATCTGGGAGAAGGGGATGGAATCTGGGAGAAGGGGATGAAATTAGGGAGAAGGGGATGGAATCAGGGAGAAGGGGAAGGAATCTGGGAGAAGGGGGTGGAATCTGGGAGAAGGGGGTGGAATCTGGGAGAAGGGGATGGAATCTGGGAGAAGGGGATGGAATCTGGGAGAAGGGGATGGAATATGGGAGAAGGGGATGGAATCTGGGAGAAGGGGATGGAATCTGGGAGAAGAGGATGGAATCTGGGAGAAGGGGATGGAATCTGGGAGAAGGGGATGGAATCTGGGAGAAGGGGGTGGAATATGGGAGAAGGGGATGGAATCTAGGAGAAGGGGATGGAATCAGGGAGAAGGGGATGGAATCTGGGAGAAGGGGATGGAATCTGGGAGAAGGGGATGGAATCTGGGAGAAGGGGATGGAATATGGGAGAAGGGGATGGAATCTGGGAGCAGGGGATGGAATCGGGGAGAAGGGGATGGAATGAGGGAGAAGGGGATGGAATCTGGGAGAAGGGGATGGAATCTGGGAGAAGGGGATGAAATTTGGGAGAAGGGGATGGAATCTGGGAGAAGGGGATGGAATCTAAGAGAAGGGGATGGAATCTGGGAGAAGGGGTTGGAATCTGAGAGAAGGGGATGGAATCTGGGAGAAGGGGATGGAATCTGGGAGAAGGGGGTGAAATGTAGGAGAATGGGATGGAATCTGGGAGAAGGGGATAGAATCTAGGAGAAGGGGATGGAATCTGGGAGAAGGGGATGGAATCTGGGAGAAGGGGATGGAATCTGGGAGAAGGGGATGGAATCAGGGAGAAGGGGATGGAATCTGGGAGAAGGGGATGGAATCTGAGAGAAGGGGATGGAATATGGGAGAAGGGGATGGAATCTGGGAGAAGGGGATGGAATCAGGGAGAAGGGGATGGAATCTGGGAGAAGGGGATGGAATCTTGGAGAAGGGATGGAATCTGGGAGAAGGGGATGGAATCGGGGAGAAGGGGATGGAATGAGGGAGAAGGGGATGGAATCTTGGAGAAGGGGATGGAATCTGGGAGAAGGGGATGGAATCGGGAAGAAGGGGATGGAATGAGGGAGAAGGGGATGGAATCTGGGAGAAGGGGATGGAATCTGGGAGAAGGGGATGGAATCTGGGAGAAGGGGATAGAATATGGGAGAAGGGGATGGAATCTGGGAGAAGGTGATGGAATCTGGGAGAAGGGGGTGGAATCTGGGAGAACGGGGTGGAATCTAGGAGAATGGGATGGAATATGGGAGAAGGGGATGGAATCGGGGAGAAGGGGATGGAATGAGGGAGAAGGGGATGGAATCTGGGAGAAGGGGATGGAATATGGGAGAAGGGGATGGAATCTGGGAGAAGGGGATGGAATCGGGGAGAAGGGGATGGAATGAGGGAGAAGGGGATGGAATCTGGGAGAAGGGGATGGAATCTGGGAGAAGGGGATGGAATCTGGGTGAAGGGGATGGAATCTGAGAGAAGGGGGTGGAATCTAGGAGAAGGGGATGAAATCTGGGAGAAGGGGATGGAATCTGGGAGAAGGGGATGGAATCTAGGAGAAGGGGATGGAATCTGGGAGAAGGGGATGGAATCAGGGAGAAGGAGATGGAATCTGGAAGAAGGGGATGGAATCTGGGAGAAGGGGGTGGAATCTAGGAGAAGGGGATGGAATCTGGGAGAAGGGGATAGAATCTGGGAGAAGGGGATGGAATCTGGGAGAAGGGGATGGAATCTGGGAGAAGGGGATGGAATCTGGGAGAAGGGGATGGAATCTGGGAGAAGGGGATGGAATCTGGGAGAAGGGGGTGGAATATGGGAGAAGGGGATAGAATCAAGGAGAAGGGGATGGAATCAGGGAGAAGGGGATGGAATCTGGGAGAAGGGGATGGAATCTGGGAGAAGGGGATGGAATCTGGGAGAAGGGGATAGAATATGGGAGAAGGGGATGGAATCTGGGAGAAGGTGATGGAATCTGGGAGAAGGGGGTGGAATCTGGGAGCAGGGGGTGGAATCTAGGAGAATGGGATGGAATATGGGAGAAGGGGATGGAATCGGGGAGAAGGGGATGGAATGAGGGAGAAGGGGATGGAATCTTGGAGAAGGGGATGGAATCTGGGAGAAGGGGATGGAATCGGGAAGAAGGGGATGGAATGAGGGAGAAGGGGATGGAATCTGGGAGAAGGGGATGGAATCGGGGAGAAGGGGATGGAATCTGGGAGAAGGGGATAGAATATGGGAGAAGGGGATGGAATCTGGGAGAAGGTGATGGAATCTGGGAGAAGGGGGTGGAATCTGGGAGAACGGGGTGGAATCTAGGAGAATGGGATGGAATATGGGAGAAGGGGATGGAATCGGGGAGAAGGGGATGGAATGAGGGAGAAGGGGATGGAATCTGGGAGAAGGGGATGGAATATGGGAGAAGGGGATGGAATCTGGGAGAAGGGGATGGAATCGGGGAGAAGGGGATGGAATGAGGGAGAAGGGGATGGAATCTGGGAGAAGGGGATGGAATCTGGGAGCAGGGGATGGAATATGGGAGAAGGGGATGGAATCTGGGAGCAGGGGATGGAATCGGGGAGAAGGGGATGGAATGAGGGAGAAGGGGATGGAATCTGGGAGAAGGGGATGGAATCTGGGAGAAGGGGATGAAATTTGGGAGAAGGGGATGGAATCTGGGAGAAGGGGATGGAATCTAAGAGAAGGGGATGGAATCTGGGAGAAGGGGTTGGAATCTGAGAGAAGGGGATGGAATCTGGGAGAAGGGGATGGAATCTGGGAGAAGGGGGTGAAATGTAGGAGAATGGGATGGAATCTGGGAGAAGGGGATAGAATCTAGGAGAAGGGGATGGAATCTGGGAGAAGGGGATGGAATCTGGGAGAAGGGGATGGAATCTGGGAGAAGGGGATGGAATCAGGGAGAAGGGGATGGAATCTGGGAGAAGGGGATGGAATCTGAGAGAAGGGGATGGAATATGGGAGAAGGGGATGGAATCTGGGAGAAGGGGATGGAATCAGGGAGAAGGGGATGGAATCTGGGAGAAGGGGATGGAATCTTGGAGAAGGGATGGAATCTGGGAGAAGGGGATGGAATCGGGGAGAAGGGGATGGAATGAGGGAGAAGGGGATGGAATCTTGGAGAAGGGGATGGAATCTGGGAGAAGGGGATGGAATCGGGAAGAAGGGGATGGAATGAGGGAGAAGGGGATGGAATCTGGGAGAAGGGGATGGAATCTGGGAGAAGGGGATGGAATCTGGGAGAAGGGGATAGAATATGGGAGAAGGGGATGGAATCTGGGAGAAGGTGATGGAATCTGGGAGAAGGGGGTGGAATCTGGGAGAACGGGGTGGAATCTAGGAGAATGGGATGGAATATGGGAGAAGGGGATGGAATCGGGGAGAAGGGGATGGAATGAGGGAGAAGGGGATGGAATCTGGGAGAAGGGGATGGAATATGGGAGAAGGGGATGGAATCTGGGAGAAGGGGATGGAATCGGGGAGAAGGGGATGGAATGAGGGAGAAGGGGATGGAATCTGGGAGAAGGGGATGGAATCTGGGAGAAGGGGATGGAATCTGGGTGAAGGGGATGGAATCTGAGAGAAGGGGGTGGAATCTAGGAGAAGGGGATGAAATCTGGGAGAAGGGGATGGAATCTGGGAGAAGGGGATGGAATCTAGGAGAAGGGGATGGAATCTGGGAGAAGGGGATGGAATCAGGGAGAAGGAGATGGAATCTGGAAGAAGGGGATGGAATCTGGGAGAAGGGGGTGGAATCTAGGAGAAGGGGATGGAATCTGGGAGAAGGGGATAGAATCTGGGAGAAGGGGATGGAATCTGGGAGAAGGGGATGGAATCTGGGAGAAGGGGATGGAATCTGGGAGAAGGGGATGGAATCTGGGAGAAGGGGATGGAATCTGGGAGAAGGGGGTGGAATATGGGAGAAGGGGATAGAATCAAGGAGAAGGGGATGGAATCAGGGAGAAGGGGATGGAATCTGGGAGAAGGGGATGGAATCTGGGAGAAGGGGATGGAATCTGGGAGAAGGGGATAGAATATGGGAGAAGGGGATGGAATCTGGGAGAAGGTGATGGAATCTGGGAGAAGGGGGTGGAATCTGGGAGCAGGGGGTGGAATCTAGGAGAATGGGATGGAATATGGGAGAAGGGGATGGAATCGGGGAGAAGGGGATGGAATGAGGGAGAAGGGGATGGAATCTTGGAGAAGGGGATGGAATCTGGGAGAAGGGGATGGAATCGGGAAGAAGGGGATGGAATGAGGGAGAAGGGGATGGAATCTGGGAGAAGGGGATGGAATCGGGGAGAAGGGGATGGAATCTGGGAGAAGGGGATAGAATATGGGAGAAGGGGATGGAATCTGGGAGAAGGTGATGGAATCTGGGAGAAGGGGGTGGAATCTGGGAGAACGGGGTGGAATCTAGGAGAATGGGATGGAATATGGGAGAAGGGGATGGAATCGGGGAGAAGGGGATGGAATGAGGGAGAAGGGGATGGAATCTGGGAGAAGGGGATGGAATATGGGAGAAGGGGATGGAATCTGGGAGAAGGGGATGGAATCGGGGAGAAGGGGATGGAATGAGGGAGAAGGGGATGGAATCTGGGAGAAGGGGATGGAATCTGGGAGAAGGGGATGGAATCTGGGTGAAGGGGATGGAATCTGAGAGAAGGGGGTGGAATCTAGGAGAAGGGGATGAAATCTGGGAGAAGGGGATGGAATCAGGGAGAAGGGGATGGAATCTGGGAGAAGGGGATGGAATCTGGGAGAAGGGGATGGAATCTGGGAGAAGGGGATGGAATCTGGGAGAAGGGGATAGAATATGGGAGAAGGGGATGGAATCTGGGAGAAGGTGATGGAATCTGGGAGAAGGGGGTGGAATCTGGGAGCAGGGGGTGGAATCTAGGAGAATGGGATGGAATATGGGAGAAGGGGATGGAATCGGGGAGAAGGGGATGGAATGAGGGAGAAGGGGATGGAATCTTGGAGAAGGGGATGGAATCTGGGAGAAGGGGATGGAATCGGGAAGAAGGGGATGGAATGAGGGAGAAGGGGATGGAATCTGGGAGAAGGGGATGGAATCTGGGAGAAGGGGATGGAATCTGGGAGAAGGGGATAGAATATGGGAGAAGGGGATGGAATCTGGGAGAAGGTGATGGAATCTGGGAGAAGGGGGTGGAATCTGGGAGAACGGGGTGGAATCTAGGAGAATGGGATGGAATATGGGAGAAGGGGATGGAATCGGGGAGAAGGGGATGGAATGAGGGAGAAGGGGATGGAATCGGGGAGAAGGGGATGGAATGAGGGAGAAGGGGATGGAATCTGGGAGAAGGGGATGGAATCTGGGAGAAGGGGATGGAATCTGGGAGAAGGGGATGGAATCTGAGAGAAGGGGGTGGAATCTAGGAGAAGGGGATGAAATCTGGGAGAAGGGGATGGAATCTGGGAGAAGGGGATGGAATCTGGGAGAAGGGGATGGAATCTGGGAGAAGGGGATGGAATCAGGGAGAAGGGGATGGAATCTAGAAGAAGGGGATGGAATCTGGGAGAAGGGGGTGGAATCTAGGAGAAGGGGATGGAATCTGGGAGAAGGGGATAGAATCTGGGAGAAGGGGATGGAATCTGGGAGAAGGGGATGGAATCTGGGAGAAGGGGATGGAATCTGGGAGAAGGGGATGGAATCTGGGAGAAGGGGATGGAATCTAGGAGAAGGGGGTGGAATATGGGAGAAGGGGATAGAATCTAGGAGAAGGGGATGGAATCAGGGAGAAGGGGATGGAATCTGGGAGAAGGGGATGGAATCTAGGAGAAGGGGATGGAATCTGGGAGAAGGGGATGGAATATGGGAGAAGGGGATGGAATCTGGGAGCAGGGGATGGAATCGGGGAGAAGGGGATGGAATGAGGGAGAAGGGGATGGAATCTGGGAGAAGGGGATGGAATCTGGGAGAAGGGGATGGAATCTGGGAGAAGGGGATGGAATCTGAGAGAAGGGGGTGGAATCTGGGAGAAGGGGATGAAATTTGGGAGAAGGGGATGGAATCTGGGAGAAGGGGATGGAATCTAAGTGAAGGGGATGGAATCTGGGAGAAGGGGATGGAATCTGGGAGAAGGGGATGGAATGAGGGATTTAAGGTTTAGAATCTGGGAGAAGGGGATGGAATCTGGGAGAAGGGGATGGAATCTGGGAGAAGGGGATGGAATCGGGGAGAAGGGGATGGAATCTGGGAGAAGGGGATGGAATTTGGGACAAGGGGATGGAATCTGGGAGAAGGGGATGGAATCTGGGAGAAGGGGATGGAATCTGGGAGAAGGGGATGGAATCTGGGAGAAGGGGGTGGAATATGGGAGAAGGGGATGGAATCTAGGAGAAGGGGATGGAATCAGGGAGAAGGGGATGGAATCTGGGAGAAGGGGATGGAATCTGGGAGAAGGGGATGGAATCAGGGAGAAGGGGGTGGAATCTGGGAGAAGGGGATGGAATCTGGGAGAAGGGGATGGAATCTGGGAGAAGGGGATGGAATCTGGGAGAAGGGGGTGGAATCTGGGAGAAGGGGATGAACTCTGGGAGAAGGGGATGGAATCTGGGAGAAGGGGATGGAATCTAGGAGAAGGGGATGGAATCTGGGAGAAGGGGATGGAATCTGGGAGAAGGGGATGGAATCTGGGAGAAGGGGATGGAATCTAGGAGAAGGGGATGGAATCTGCGAGAAGGGGATGGAATCTGGGAGAAGGGGATGGAATCTGGGAGAAGGGGATGGAATCTGGGAGAAGGGGGTGGAATCAGACCCCCTCATTCTCCCTCCTTCCATCACCCCGCCCCATTCTCCCGCTTTCCATCACCTCGCCCCATTCTCCCGCTTTCCATCACCCCGCCCCATTCTCCCTCCTTCCATCACCCCGCCCCATTCTCCCGCTTTCCATCAGCCCACCCCATTCACCCGCTTTCCATCACACCGCCCCATTCTCCCGCTTTCCATCACCCCGCCCCATTCTCCCGCTTTCCATCACCCCGCCCCATTCTCCCATCACCCCGCCCCATTCTCCCGCTTTCCATCACCACGCCCCATTCTCCCGCTTTCCATCACCCCGCCCCATTCTCCCGCTTTCCATCACTCCGCCCCATTCTCCCGCTTTCCATCACCCCGCCCCATTCTCCTGCTTTCCATCACCCCGCCCCATTCTTCTCCTTCCATCACCCCGCCTCATTCTACCTCCTTCCATCACCCCGCCCCATTCTCCCGTTTTCCATCACCCCGCCCCATTCTCCCGCTTTCCATCACCCCGCCCCATTCTCCCGCTTTCCATCACCACGCCCCATTCTCCCGCTTTCCATCACCCCGCCCCATTCTCCCTCCTTCCATCACCCCGCCTCATTCTCCCTCCTTCCATCACCCCGCCCCATTCTCCCGCTTTCCATCACCCCGCCCCATTCTCCCGCTTTCCATCACCCCGCCCCATTCTCCCGCTTTCCATAACCCCGCCCCATTCTTCCGCTTTCCATCACCCCGCCCCATTCTCCCTCCTTCCATCAACCCGCCCCATTCTCCCGCTTTTCTTCACCCCGCCCCATTCTCCCTCTTTCCATCACCCCGCCCCATTCTTCCGCTTTTCATCACCCTACCCCATTCTCCCTCTTTCCATCTGCCCGCCCCATTCCCCCTCTTTCCATCAGCCCGCCCCACTCTCCCGCTTTTCTTCACCCCGCCCCATTCTTCCGCTTTTCATCACCCCGCCCCATTCTCCCGCTTTCCATCACCCCGCCCCATTCTCCCGCTTTCCATCACCCCGCCCCTTTCTCCCGCTTTCCATCACCCCGCCCCATTCTCCCGCTTTCTATCACTCCGCCCCATTCTCCCGCTTTCCATCACCCCGCCCCATTCTCAAGCTTTCCATCACCCCACCCCATTCTCCCGCTTTCCATCACCCCGCCCCATTCTCCCGCTTTCCATCACTCCGCCCCATTCTCCCGCTTTCCATCACCCCGCCCCATTCTCAAGCTTTCCATCACCCCGCCCCATTCTCCCGCTTTCCATCACCCCGCCCCATTCTCCCGCTTTCCATCACCCCGCCCCATTCTCCCGCTTTCCATCACCCCGCCCCATTCTCCCGCTTTCCATCACCCCGCCCTATTCTCCCGCTTTCCATCACCCCGCCCCATTCTTCCGCTTTCCATCACCCCGCCCCTTTCTCCCTCTTTCCATCACCCCGCCCCATTCTCCCGCTTTCCATCACCCCGCCCCATTCTCCCGCTTTCCATCACCCTGCCCCGTTCTCCCGTTTTCCATCACCCCGCCCCATTCTCCCCCTTTCCATCACCCCGCCCCATTCTCCCTCTTTCTATCACCCCACCCCATTCTCCCTCTTTCCATCGCCCCGCCCCATTCTTCCGCTTTTCATCACCCTGCCCCATTCTCCCTCTTTCCATCACCCCGCCCCATTCCCCCTCTTTCCATCAGCCTGCCCCATTCTCCCGCTCTCCATCACCCCGCCCTATTCTCCCTATTTCTATCACCCCGCCCCATTCTCCCACTATCCATCACCCCGCCCCATTCTCCCGCTTTCCATCACCCCGCCCCATTCTCCCGCTTTCCATCACCCCGCCCCATTCTCCCGCTTTCCATCACCCCAAGCCATTCTCCCTCTTTCCATCACCCCGCCTCATTCTCCCGCTTTCCATCACCCCGCCCCATTCTCCCGCTTTCCATAACCCCGCCCCATTGTCCCTCTTTCCATCACCCTGCCCCATTGTCCCTCTTTCCATCACCCTGCCCCATTCTCCCTCTTTCCATCACCCCACCCCATTCTCCCGCTTTCAATCGCCCCGCCCCATTCTCCCGCTTTCCATCAACCCGCCCCATTCTCCCTCTTTCCATCACCCCGCCCTAATCTCCCTCTTTCCATCACCCCGCCCAATTCTTCCTCTTTCCATCACCCCGCCCCATTCTCCCTCTTTCCATCACCACGCCCCATTCTCCGGCTTTCCATCACACCACCCCATTTTCCCGTTTTCTATCACCACGCCCCATTTTCCCTCTTTCCATCACCCCGCCCCATTCTCCCGCTTTCCATCACCCCGCCCCATTCTCCCGCTTTCCATCACCCCGCTCCATTCTCCCGCATTCCATCACCCCGCCCAATTCTCCCTCTTTCCATCTCCCCTCCCCATTCTCCCTCTTTCCATCACCCCGCCCCGTTCTCCCGCTTTCCATCACCCCGCCCCATTCTCCCTCTTTCCATCACCCCGCCCCATTCTCCCGCTTTCCATCACCCCGCCCCATTCTCCCTTTTCCATCACCCCGCCCCATTCTCCCGCTTTTCATCACCCAGCCCCATTCTCCCTCTTTCCATCACCCCGCCCCATTCTCCCGCTTTCCATCACACCACCCCATTCTCCCACTTTCCATCACCACGCCCCATTTTCCCTCTTTCCATCACCCCGCCCCATTCTCCCGCTTTCCATCACCCCGCCCCATTCTCCCGCTTTCCATCACCCCGCTCCATTCTCCCGCATTCCATCACCCCGCCCAATTCTCCCTCTTTCCATCACCCCTCCCCATTCTCCCTCTTTCCATCACCCCGCCACATTCTCCCGCTTTCCATCACCGCGCCTCATTATCCCTCTTTCCATCACCCCGCCCCAGTCTCCCGCTTTCCATCACACCGCCCCATTCTCCCTCTATCCATCGTCCCGCCCTATTCTCCCGCTTTCCATCACACCGCCTCATTCTCCCGCTTTCCATCACCCCTCCCCATTCTCCCGCTTTCCATCACCCCGCCCCATTCTCCCGCTTTCCATCACCCCGCCCAATTCTCCCTCTTTCCATCACCCCTCCCTATTCTCCCTCTTTCCATCACCCCGCTCCATTCTCCCGCTTTCCATCACCCCGCCCCATTCTCCTGCTTTCCATCACACCACCCCATTCTCCTGCTTTCCATCACCCCGCTCCATTCTCCCGCTTTCCATCACCCCGCCCAGTTTTCCCTCTTTCCATCACCCCTCCCCATTATCCCTCTTTCCATCACCCCGCCCCATTCTCCCTCTTTCCTTCACCCCGCCCCATTCTTCCGTTTTCCATCACCTCGCCCCATTCTCCCTCTTTCCATCACCCCGCCCCATTGTCCCGCTTTCCATCACCCCGCCCCATTCTCCCGCTTTCCATCACCCCGCCCCATTGTCCCTCTTTCCATCACCCCGCCCCATTCTCCCGCTTTCCACCACCCCGCTCCATTCTCTTGCTTTCCATCACCCCGCCCAATTCTTCCTCTTTCGATCACCCTGCCCCATTCTCCCTCTTTCCATCACCCCGCCCCATTCTCCCGCTTTCCATCACACCACCCCATTCTCCCGCTTTCCATCACCACGCCCCATTTTCCCTCTTTCCATCACCCCGCCCCATTCTCCCGCTTTCCATCACCCCGCCCCATTCTCCTGCTTTCCATCACCCCGCTCCATTCTCCCGCATTCCATCACCCCGCCCAATTCTCCCTCTTTCCATCACCCCTCCCCATTCTCCCTCTTTCCATCACCCCGCCCCATTCTCCCGCTTTCCATAACCCCGCCCCATTCTCCCTTTTCCATCACCCCGCCCCATTCTCCCGCTTTCCATCACCCCGCCCCATTCTCCCTCTTTCCATCACCCCGCCCCATTCTTCCTCTTTCCATCACCCCGCCCCATTCTCCCCCAATCCATCACCTCGCCCCATTTTCATTCATTCCATCACCCCGTCCCATTCTCCCGCTTTCCATCACCCCGCCCCATTCTCCCGCTTTCCATCACCCCACTCCATTCTCCCGCTTTCCATCACCCTGCCCAATTCTCCCTCTTTCCATCACCCCTCCCCATTCTCCCTCTTTCCATCACCAAGCCCCATTCTCCCGCTTTCCATCACCCCGCCCAATTCTCCCTCTTTCCATCACCCCTCCCTATTCTCCCTCTTTCCATCACCCCGCTCCATTCTCCCGCTTTCCATCACCCCGCCCCATTCTCCTGCTTTCCATCACACCACCCCATTCTCCCGCTTTCCATCACCCCGCTCCATTCTCCCGCTTTCCATCACCCCGCCCAGTTCTCCCTCTTTCCATCACCCCTCCCCATTATCCCTCTTTCCATCACCCCGCCCCATTCTCCCTCTTTCCTTCACCCCGCCCCATTCTTCCGTTTTCCATCACCTCGCCCCATTCTCCCTCTTTCCATCACCCCGCCCCATTCTCCCGCTTTCCATCACCCCGCCCCATTCTCCCGCTTTCCATCACCCCGCCCCATTGTCCCTCTTTCCATCACCCGCCCCATTCTCCCGCTTTCCACCACCCCGCTCCATTCTCTTGCTTTCCATCACCCCGCCCAATTCTTCCTCTTTCCATCACCCTGCCCCATTCTCCCTCTTTCCATCACCCCGCCCCATTCTCCCGCTTTCCATCACACCACCCCATTCTCCCGCTTTCCATCACCACGCCCCATTTTCCCTCTTTCCATCACCCCGCCCCATTCTCCCGCTTTCCATCACCCCGCCCCATTCTCCTGCTTTCCATCACCCCGCTCCATTCTCCCGCATTCCATCACCCCGCCCAATTCTCCCTCTTTCCATCACCCCTCCCCATTCTCCCTCTTTCCATCACCCCGCCCCATTCTCCCGCTTTCCATAACCCCGCCCCATTCTCCCTTTTCCATCACCCCGCCCCATTCTCCCGCTTTCCATCACCCCGCCCCATTCTCCCTCTTTCCATCACCCCGCCCCATTCTTCCTCTTTCCACCACCCCGCCCCATTCTCCCCCAATCCATCACCTCGCCCCATTTTCATTCATTCCATCACCCCGTCCCGTTCTCCCGCTTTCCATCACCCCGCCCCATTCTCCAGCTTTCCATCACCCCACTCCATTCTCCCGCTTTCCATCACCCTGCCCAATTCTCCCTCTTTCCATCACCCCTCCCCATTCTCCCTCTTTCCATCACCAAGCCCCATTCTCCCGCTTTCCATCACCCCGCCCCATTCTCCCTCTTTCCATCACCCCGCCCCTTTCTTCCTCTTTCCATCACCCCGCCCCATTCTCCCTCTTTCCACCACCCCGCCCCATTCTCCCTGTTTTCATCACCCCGCCCCATTCTCCCGTTTTCCATCACCCCGCCCCATTCTCCCGCTTTCCATCACCCCGCCCCATTCTCCCTCTTTCCATCACCCCGCCCCATTCTCCCGCTTTCAACCACCCCGCCCTGTTCTCCCTCTTTCCATCACCCCGCCCCATTCTCCCTCTTTCCATCACCCCGCCCCATTCTCCCGCTTTCCATCACCCAGCCCCACTCTCCATCTTTCCATCACTCCGCCCCATTCTCCCGCCTTCCATCACCCCGCCCCATTCTCCATCCTTCCATCACCCCGCCCCATTCTCCCTCTTTCCATCACCCCGCCCGATTCTCCTGCTTTCCATCACCCTGCCCATTCTCCCGCTTTCCATCACCCCGCCCCATTCTCCCTCTTTCCATCACCCCGCCCCATTCTCCCGCTTTCCATCACCCCGCTCCATTCTCCCGCTTTCCATCACCCCGCCCAATTCTCCCTACTTCCATCACCCCTCCCCATTCTCCCTCTTTCCATCACCACGACCTTTTCTCCCTCTTTCCATCACCCCGCCCCATTCTCCCTCTTTCCATCACCCCGCCCCATTCTCCCTCTTTCCGTCACCCCACCACATTATCCCTCTTTCCATCACCCTGCCCTATTCTCCCTGTTTCCATCACCCTGCCCCATACTCCCGCTTTCCATCACCCCGCCCCATTCTCCCGCTTTCCATCACCCCGCCCCATTCTCCCACTTTCCATCACCCCGTCCCGTTCTCCCGCTTCCCATCACCCCACCCCGTTCTCCCGCTTTCCATCACCCTGCCCCGTTCTCCCGTTTTCCATCACCCCGCTCCGTTCTCCCTCTTTCCATCACCCCAGTCAATCTCCCGTTTTCCATCACCCCTCCCCATTCTCCCTCTTTCCATCACCCCGCCCCATTCTCCCTCTTTCCATCACCCCGCCCCATTCTCCTGCTTTCTATCACCCCGCCCCATTCTCCTGCTTTCCATCACCCAGCTCCATTCTCCCGCTTCCCATCACCCCGCCTAATTCTCCCTCTTTCCATCACTCCTCCCCATTCTCCCTCTTTCCATCACCCCGCCCCATTCTCCCGCTTTCAATCACCCCGCCCCATTCTCCCGCTTTCCATCACCCCAAGCCATTCTCCCTCTTTCCATCACCCCGCCTCATTCTCCCGCTTTCCATCACCCCGCCCCATTCTCCCGCTTTCCATCACCCCGCCCCATTGTCCCTCTTTCCATCACCCCGCCCCATTCTCCCTCTTTCCATCACCCTGCCCCATTCTCCCTCTTTCCATCACCCCACCCCATTCTCCCGCTTTCAATCACCCCGCCCCATTCTCCCCCTTTTCATCACCCCGACCCATTCTCCCGCTTTCCATCACCCCGCCCCATTCTCCCGCTTTCCATCAACCCGCCCAATTCTCCCTCTTTCCATCACCCCGCCCTAATCTCCCTCTTTCCATCACCCTGACCCATTCTCCCGCTTTCCATCACCCCGCCCCATTCTCCCGCTTTCCATCACCCCGCCCCATTCTTCCGCTTTCCATCACCCCGCCCCATTCTCCCTCTTTCCATCTCCCCGCCCCATTCTCCCTCTCTCCATCACCCCGCCCCATTCTCTCGCTTTCCATCATCCCGCCCCATTCTCCCGCTTTCAATCACCCCGCCCCATTCTTCCGCTTTCCATCACCCCGCCCCATTCTCCCTGTTTCCATCAGCCCGCCCCATTCTCCCTCTTTCCATCACCCCACCCCATTCTCCCGCTTTCCATTACCCTGCCCCATTCTCCCGCTTTTTCATCACCCCGCCCTATTCTCCCTCTTTCCATCACCCCGCCCCATTCTCCCTCTTTCCATCACCCCACCCCATTCTCCCGCTTTCCATCACCCCGCCCCATTCTCCCGCTTTCCTTCATCGCGCCCCATTCTCCAGCTTTCCATCACCCCGCCCTATTCTCCCTCTTTCCATCACCCTGCCCCATTCTCCCGCTTTCCATCACCCAGCCCCATTCTCCTGCTTTCCATCACCCAGCCCCATTCTCCCGCTTTCCATCACCCCGCCCCATTCTCCCTCTTTCCATCACCCCGCCCAATTCTCCCTCTTTCCATCACCCCTCCCCATTCTCCCTCTTTCCATCACCCCGCCACATTCTCCCGCTTTCCATCACCGCGCCTCATTATCCCTCTTTCCATCACCCCGCCCCATTCTCCCACTTTCCATCACCCCGCCACATTCTCCCTCTTTCCATCACCCCGCCCTATTCTCCCTCTTTCCATCACCCCGCCCCATTCTCCCGCTTTCCATCACCCCACCCCACTCTCCCGCTTTCCATCACCCCACCCCATTCTCCCGCTTTCCATCACCCCGCTCCATTCTCCCGCTTTCCATCACCCCGCCCAGTTCTCCCTCTTTCCATCACCCCTCCCCATTCTCCCTCTTTCCATCACCCCGCCCCATTCTCCCGCTTTCCATCAACCTGCCCCATTCTCCCTCTTTCCATCACCTTGCCCCATTCTCCCGCTTTCCATCACCCTGCCCCATTCTCCCGCTTTCCATCACCCCGCCCCATTGTCCCTCTTTCCATCACCCCGCCCCATTCTCCCGCTTTCCACCAACCCGCTCTATTCTTTTGCTTTCCATCACCCCGCCCAATTCTCCCTCTTTCCATCACCCCTCCCGATTCTCCCTCTTTCCATCACCTCGCCCCATTCTCCCGCTTTCCATCACCCCGCCCCATTCTCCCTCTTTCCATCACCCCGCCCCATTCTCTCGCTGTCCATCACACCACCCCATTCTCCCGCTTTCCATCACCACGCCCCATTTTCCCTCTTTCCATCACCCCGCCCCATTCTCCCGCTTTCCATCACCCCGCCCCATTCTCCCTCTTTCCATCACCCCACCCCATTCTCCCGCTTTCCATCACCACGCCCCATTTTCCCTCCTTCCATCACCCCGCCCCATTCTCCCGCTTTCCATCACCCCGCCCCATTCTCCCTCTTTCCATCACCCCACCCCATTCTCCCGCTTTCCATCACCCCGCCCCATTCTCCCGCTTTCCTTCATCCCGCCCCATTCTCCCGCTTTCCATCACCCCGCCCTATTCTCCCTCTTTCCATCACCCTGCCCCATTCTCCCGCTTTCCATCACCCAGCCCCATTCTCCTACTTTCCATCACCCAGCCCCATTCTCCCGCTTTCCATCACCCCGCCCCATTCTCCCTCTTTCCATCACCCCGCCCAATTCTCCCTCTTTCCATCACCCCTCCCCATTCTCCCTCTTTCCATCACCCCGCCACATTCTCCCGCTTTCCATCACCGCGCCTCATTATCCCTCTTTCCATCACCCCGCCCCATTCTCCCGCTTTCCATCACCCTGCCACATTCTCCCTCTTTCCATCACCCCGCCCTATTCTCCCTCTTTCCATCACCCCGCCCCATTCTCCCGCTTTCCATCACCCCACCCCACTCTCCCGCTTTCCATCACCCCACCCCATTCTCCCGCTTTCCATCACCCCGCTCCATTCTCCCGCTTTCCATCACCCCTCCCCATTCTCCCTCTTTCCATCACCCCGCCCCATTCTCCCTCTTTCCATCACCCCACCCCATTCTCCCGCTTTCCATCAACCTGCCCCATTCTCCCTCTTTCCATCACCTTGCCCCATTCTCCCGCTTTCCATCACCCCGCCCCATTCTCCCGCTTTCCATCACCCCGCCCCATTGTCCCTCTTTCCATCACCCCGCCCCATTCTCCCGCTCTCCACCACCCCGCTCTATTCTTTTGCTTTCCATCACCCCGCCCAATTCTCCCTCTTACCATCACCCCTCCCGATTCTCCCTCTTTCCATCACCTCGCCCCATTCTCCCGCTTTCCATCACCCCGCCCCATTCTCCCTCTTTCCATCACCCCGCCCCATTCTCTCGCTGTCCATCACACCACCCCATTCTCCCGCTTTCCATCACCACGCCCCATTTTCCCTCTTTCCATCACCCCGCCCCATTCTCCCGCTTTCCATCACCCCGCCCCATTCTCCCGCTTTCCATCACCCCGCTCTATTCTCCCGCATTCCATCACCCCGCCCAATTCTCCCTCTTTCCATCACCCCTCCCCATTCTCCCTCTTTCCATCACCCCGCCCCATTCTCCCGCTTTCCATCACCCCGCCCCATTCTCCCTCTTTCCATCACCCCGCCCCATTCACCCGCTTTCCATCACCCCGCCCCATTCTCCCGCTTTCCATCACCCCGCCCCATTCTCCCGCTTTCCATCACCCCGCTCCATTCTCCCGCTTTCCATCACCCCGCCCAATTCTCCCTCTTCCCATTACCCCTCCCCATTCTCCCTCTTTCCATCACCCCGCCCCATTCTCCCGCTGTCCATCACCCCGCCCCATTCTCCCGCTTTCCATCACCCCGCCCCATTCTCCCCCTTTCCATCACCCTGCCCCATTCTCCCTCTATCAATCACCCCGCCCAATTCTCCCGCTTTCCATCACCCCGCCCCATTCTCCCTCTTTCCATCACTCCACCCAATTCTTCTCTTTCCATCACCCCGCCCCATTCTCCCGCTTTCCATCACCCCTCCAAATTCTCCCACTTTCCGTCACCCCGCTCCATTCTCCCGCTTTCCATCACCCCGCCCAATTCTCCCTCTTCCCATTACCCCTCCCCATTCTCCCTCTTTCCATCACCCCGCCCCATTCTCCCGCTTTCCATCACCCCGCCCCATTCTCCCTCTTTCCATCACCCCGCCCCATTCTCCCGCTTTCCATCACTCGCCCCATTCTCCCTCTTTCCATCACCCCGCTCCATTCTCCTGCTTTCCATCACCCCGCCCCATTCTCCCGCTTTCCATCACCCCGCTCCATTCTCCCGCTTTCCATCACCCGCCCCATTCTCCCGCTTTCCATCACCCCGCCCCATTCTCCCTCTTTCCATCACCCCTCCCCGTTCTCCCGCTTTCCATCACCCCGCCCTATTCTCCGTCTTTCCATCACCCCGCCCCAGTCTCCCACTTTCAATCACCGCGCCCCATTCTCCCCCTTTCCATCACCCCGCCCCATTCTCCCACTTTCCATCACCCCGCCCCATTCTCCCGATTTCCATCACCCCTCCCCATTGTCCCACTTTCCATCACCCCGCCCCATTCTCCCTCTTTGCATCAGCCCGCCCCACTCTCCCTCTTTCCATCACCCCGCCCCATTCTCCCGCTTTCCATCACCCCGCCCCATTCTCCCGCTTTCCATCACCCCGCCCCATTCTCCCGCTTTCCATCACCCCGCCCCATTCTCCCTCTTTCCATCACCCCGCCCCATTCTCCCGCCTTCCATCACCGCGCCTCATTCTCCCTCTTTCCATCACCCCGCTCCATTCTCCCGCTTTCCATCACCCCGCTCCATTCTTCCCCTTTCCATCACCCCGCCCCATTCTCCCGCTTTCCATCACCCCGCCCCATTCTCCCGCTTTCCATCACCCCGCCCCATTCTCCCTCTTTCCATCACCCCGCCCCGTTCTCCCGCTTTCCATCACCACGCCCCATTCTCCCTCTTTCCATCACCTCGCCCCATTCTCCCTCCTTCCATTACCTCGTCCCATTCTCCCGCTTTCCATCACCCCGCTCCATTCTCCCGCTTTCCATCACCCCGCCTAATTCTCTCTCTTTCCATCACCGCTCCCTATTCTCCCTCTTTCCATCACCCCGCCCCATTCTCCCGCTTTCCATCAACCCGCCCCATTCTCCCTCTTTCCATCACCCCGCCCCATTCTCCCGCTTTCCATCACCCTGCCCCATTCTCTTGCTTTCCATCACCCCGCCCAATTCTCCCTCTTTCCATCACCTCGCCCCGTTCTCCCGCTTTCCATCACCCCGCCCCGTTCTCCCGCTTTCCGTCACCCCGCCCCATTCTCCCCCTTTCCATCACCTTGCCACATTCTCCCGCTTTCCATCACCCCGCCCCATTCTTCCTCTTTCCATCACCCCGCCCCGTTCTCCCGCTTTCCATCACCCCGCCCCGTTCTCCCGCTTTCCATCACCCCGCCCCATTCTCCCCCTTTCCATCACCCCGCCCCATTCGCCCCCCTTCCATCACCCCGCCCCGTTCTCCCTCTTTCCATCAGCCCGCCCCAATCTCCCTCTTTCCATCACCCCACCCCATTCTCCCGCTTTCCATCACCCCGCCCCATTCTCCCGCTTTCCATCACCCCGCCTTATTCTCCCTCTTTCCATCACCCTGCCCCATTCTCCCTCTATCCATCACCCCGCCCAATTCTCCCGCTTTCCATCACCCCGTCCCATTCTCCCGCTTTCCATCACCCCGCCCCATTCTTTTGCTTTCCATCACCCTACCCCATCCTCCCTCTTTCCATCATCCCGCCCCATTCTCCCGATTTCCATCACCCCGCCCCGTTCCCCCGCTTTCCATCACCCCGCCCCATTCTCCCGCTTTCCATCATCCCGCCCCATTCTCCCGCTTTCCATCACCCCGCCCCATTCTCCCTCTTTCCATCACCCCGCCCCATTCTTCCTCTTTCCATCACCCCGCCCCATTCTCCCGATTTCCATCACCCCGCCCCATTCTCCCAATTTCCATCACCCCGCCCCATTCTCCCGATTTCCATCACCCCTCCCCATTGTCCCACTTTCCATCACCCCGCCCCATTCTCCCTCTTTGCATCAGCCCGCCCCATTCTCCCTCTTTCCATCACCCCGCCCCATTCTCCCGCTTTCCATCACCCCGCCCCATTCTCCCGCTTTCCATCACCCCGCCCCATTCTCCCGCTTTCCATCACCCCGCCCCATTCTCCCTCTTTCCATCACCCCGCCCCATTCTCCCTCTTTCCATCACCCCGCCCCATTCTCCCGCCTTCCATCACCCCGCCTCATTCTCCCTCTTTCCATCACCCTGCTCCATTCTCCCGCTTTCCATCACCCCGCTCCATTCTTCCCCTTTCCATCACCCCGCCCCATTCTCCCGCTTTCCATCACCCCGCCCCATTCTCCCGCTTTCCATCACCCCGCCCCATTCTCCCTCTTTCCATCACCCCGCCCCGTTCTCCCGCTTTCCGTCACCCCGCCCCATTCTCCCCCTTTCCATCACCTTGCCACATTCTCCCGCTTTCCATCACCCCGCCCCATTCTCCCTCTTTCCATCACCCCGCCCCGTTCTCCCGCTTTCCATCACCCCGCCCCGTTCTCCCGCTTTCCATCACCCCGCCCCATTCTCCCCCTTTCCATCACCCCGCCCCATTCGCCCCCCTTCCATCACCCCGCCCCGTTCTCCCTCTTTCCATCAGCCCGCCCCATTCTCCCTCTTTCCATCACCCCACCCCATTCTCCCGCTTTCCATCACCCCGCCCCATTCTCCCGCTTTCCATCACCCCGCCTTATTCTCCCTCTTTCCATCACCCTGCCCCATTCTCCCTCTATCCATCACCCCGCCCAATTCTCCCGCTTTCCATCACCCCGTCCCATTCTCCCGCTTTCCATCACCCCGCCCCATTCTTTTGCTTTCCATCACCCCACCCCATCCTCCCTCTTTCCATCATCCCGCCCCATTCTCCCGATTTCCATCACCCCGCCCCGTTCCCCCGCTTTCCATCACCACGCCCCATTCTCCCTCTTTCCATCACCTCGCCCCATTCTCCCTCCTTCCATTACCTCGTCCCATTCTCCCGCTTTCCATCACCCCGCTCCATTCTCCCGCTTTCCATCACCCCGCCTAATTCTCTCTCTTTCCATCACCGCTCCCTATTCTCCCTCTTTCCATCACCCCGCCCCATTCTCCCGCTTTCAATCAACCCGCCCCATTCTCCCGCTTTCCATCACCCCGCCCCATTCTCCCGCTTTCCATCACCCCGCCCCATTCTCTCGCTTTCCATCACCCCGCCCAACTCTCCCTCTTTCCATCACCCCGCCCCGTTCTCCCGCTTTCCATCACCCCGCCCCGTTCTCCCGCTTTCCGTCACCCCGCCCCATTCTCCCCCTTTCCATCACCTTGCCACATTCTACCGCTTTCCATCACCCCGCCCCATTCTCCCTCTTTCCATCACCCCGCCCCGTTCTCCCGCTTTCCATCACCCCGCCCCGTTCTCCCGCTTTCCATCACCCCGCCCCATTCTCCCCCTTTCCATCACCCCGCCCCATTCGCCCCCCCCTTCCATCACCCCGCCCCGTTCTCCCTCTTTCCATCAGCCCGCCCCATTCTCCCTCTTTCCATCACCCCACCCCATTCTCCCGCTTTCCATCACCCCGCCCCATTCTCCCGCTTTCCATCACCCCGCCTTATTCTCCCTCTTTCCATCACCCTGCCCCATTCTCCCTCTATCCATCACCCCGCCCAATTCTCCCGCTTTCCATCACCCCGTCCCATTCTCCCGCTTTCCATCACCCCGCCCCATTCTTTTGCTTTCCATCACCCCACCCCATCCTCCCTCTTTCCATCATCCCGCCCCATTCTCCCGATTTCCATCACCCCGCCACGTTCCCCCGCTTTCCATCACCCCGCCCCATTCTCCCGCTTTCCATCATCCCGCCCCATTCTCCCGCTTTCCATCACCCCGCCCCATTCTCCCTCTTTCCATCACCCCGCCCCATTCTTCCTCTTTCCATCACCCCGCCCCATTCTCCCGATTTCCATCACCCCGCCCCATTCTCCCAATTTCCATCACCCCGCCCTATTCTCCCTCTTTCCATCACCCCGCCCCATTCTCCCTCTTTCCATCACCCCGCCCCACTCTCCCTCCTTCCATCACCCAGCCCAATTCTCCCTCTTTCCATCACCCCGCCCCATTCTCCTTCTTTCCATCACCCCGCCCCATTCTCCCGCTTTCCATCACCCCGCCCCATTCTCCCTCTTTCCATCACCCTGCCCCATTCTCCCTCTTTCCATCACCCCGCCCCATTCTCCCGCTTTCCAACACCCCGCGCCATTTTCCCTCTTTCCATCACCCCGCCCCATTCTCCCGCTTTCCATCACCCCGCCCCATTCTCTCGCTTTCCATCATCCCGCTCCATTGTCCCGCTTTCCATCACCCCGCCCAATTCTCCCTCTTTCCTTCACCCCTCCCCATTCTCCCTTTTTCCATCACCCCACCCCATTCTCCCGCTTTCCATCAACCCGCCCCATTCTCCCTCTTTCCATCACCCCGCCCCATTCTCCCGCTTTCCATCACCCCGCCCCATTCTCCTTCTTTCCATCACCCCGCCCCATTCTCCCTCTTTCCATCACCCCGCCCCATTCTCCCGCTTTCCATCACCCCGCGCCATTTTCCCTCTTTCCATCACCCCGCCCCATTCTCCCGCTTTCCATCACCCCGCCCCATTCTCTCGCTTTCCATCATCCAGCTCCATTGTCCCGCTTTCCATCACCCCGCCCAATTCTCACTCTTTCCATCACCCCTCCCCATTCTCCCCTTTTCCATCACCCCGCCCCATTCTCCCGCTTTCCATCACCCTGCCCCATTCTTCCTCTTTCCATCACCCCGCCCCATTCTCCCTCTTTCCATCACCCCGCCCCATTCTCCCGCTTTCCATCACCCCGCCCCATTCTACCGCTTTCCGTCACCCCACCCCATTCTCCCTCTGTCCATCACCCCGCCCCATTCTCCCTCTTTCCATCACCCCGCCCCATTCTCCCGCTTTCCATCACCCCACCCCATTCTCCCTCTTTCCATCACCCCGCCCCATTCTCCCTCTTTCCATCACCCCGCCCCATTCTCCCGCTTTCCATCAGCCCGCGCCATTTTCCCTCTTTCCATCAACCCACCCCATTCTCCCACATTCCATCACCCTGCCCCATTCTCAATCTATCCATCACCCCGCCCAATTCTCCCGCTTTCCATCACCCCGTCCCATTCTCCCGCTTTCCATCACCCCGCCCCATTCTCCCTCTTTCCATCACCCCGCCCCATTCTCCCGCTTTCCATGACCCAGCCCCATTCTCCCGCTTTTCATCACCCCGCTCCATCCTCCCGCTTTCCATCACCCCGCCCAATTCTCCCTCTTTCCATCACCCCTCCCCATTCTCCCTCTTTCCATCAGCCCGCCCCATTCTCCCGCTTTCCATCACCCCGCCCCATTCTCCCTCTATCCATCACCCCGCCCCATTCTACCACTTTCCATCAACCCGCCCCATTCTCCCGCTTTCCATCACCCCGCTCCATTCTCCCGCTTTCCATCACCCCACCCAATTCTCCCGATTTGCATCACCCCGCCCCATTCTCCCGCTTTCCATCACCCCGCCCCATTCTCCCTCTTTCCATCACCTTGCCCCATTCTCCCGCTTTCCATCACCCCTCCCCATTCTCCCTCTTTCCATCAGCCCGCCCCATTCTCTCGCTTTCCATCACCCCGCTCCATTCTCCCTCTTTCCATCACCCCGCCCCATTCTCCCTCTTTCCATCATCCCGCCCCATTCTCCCGCTTTCCATCACCCCGCCCCATTCTCCCTCTATCCATCACCCCGCCCCATTCTACCACTTTCCATCACCCTGCCGCATTCTCCCGCTTTCCATCACCCCGCCCCATTCTCCCGCTTTCCATCACCCCGCTCCATTCTCCCGCTTTCCATCACCCCGCCCAATTCTCCCTCTTTCCATCAACCCTCCCTATTCTCCCACTTTCCATCACCCCGCCCCATTCTCCCGCTTTCCATCACCCCGCCCCATTCTCCCGCTTTCCATCACCCCGCCCCATTCTCCCGCTTTCCATCACCCCGCCCCATTCTCCCGCTTTCCATCACCCTGCCCCATTCTCCCGCTTTCCATCACCCCGCCCCATTCTCCCTCTTTCCATCACCCCGCCTCGTTCTCCCGCTTTCCATCACCCCGCCCCGTTCTCCAGATTTCCATCGCCTTGCCCCATTCTCCCGCTTTCCATCACCCCACCCCATTCTCCCGCTTTCCATCACCCCGCCCCATTCTCCCTCTTTCCATCACCCCACCCCATTCTCCCGATTTGCATCACCCCGCCCCATTCTCCCGATTTGCATCACCCCGCCCCATTCTCCCGCCTTCCATCAACCCGCCCTATTCTCCCTCTTTCCATCACCCCGCCCCATTCTCCCGCTTTCCATCACCCCGCCCCATTCTCCCTCTTTCCGTCACACCGCCCCATTCTCCCGCTTTCCATCACACCACCCCATTCTCCCGCTTTCCATCACCACGCCCCATTTTCCCTCTTTCCATCACCCCGCCCCATTCTCCCGCTTTCCATCACCCTGCCCCATTCTCCCGCTTTCCATCACCCCGCTCCATTCTCCCGCTTTCCATCAACCCGCCCAATTCTCCCTCTTTCTATCACCTCTCCCCATTCTCCCTCTTTCCATCACCCCGCCCCATTCTCCCGCTTTCCATCACCCCGCCCCATTCTCCCGCTTTCCATCACCCCGCCCCATTCTCCCTCTTTCCATCACCCCGTCCCATTCTCCTTCTTTCCATCACCCCTCCCCATTCTCCCGCTTTCCATCACCCCGCCCTATTCTCCCGCTTTCCATCACCCCGCCCCATTCTCCCTCTTTCCATCACCCCGCCCCGTTCTCCCTCTTTCCATCACCCCGCCCCATTCTCCCTCTATCCATCACCCTGCCCAATTCTTCCTCTTTCCATCACCCCGCCCCATTCTCCCGATTTCCGTCAACCCGCCCCATTCTCCCTCTTTCCATCACCCCGCCCCATTCTCCCTCTTTCCATCACCCTGACCCATTCTCCCGCTTTCCATCACCCCTCCCCATTCTCCCTCTTTGACTTTATTCAACTTGGATCTGGAGCTCCTTGACGTCGCCTACAATAAGCAATTCAGATCGCACGATTTCATCAAGATTTGACGACACAGCGTCGGTTTGAACGAACGGGACTATGGAAGCAACATGGTCTTAGAATGCAACTTAGGAAGAGTCAGCAAGAGTTACGAGTTGGGAATGACTCCCAGCTCCTACAAACCCCAAGAGCCGAGGAACAGTGATGTGGAACAGTGCCACACTGTCCCCAACCACGAAAGGTCTCGAAACTACCCTTCACTAGGGTCTACACCAACTGAAATGTTACACTACACGTTGTAATGTAACGAATCTTGATATCTTGAGGTGTACCCTTTTCGCGGACTTCGCGAACACTTGAATGTTGACACCAGGGCTCGGGTTCTTCATCACAAACTCATCCTTGAGCTCTTGATGGGTCTGCTGCACACACCTGCGACACGCCGAACGTTCGACAAGCAACAAAATAGAAACCGCGCACGACAAAATAGAAACCGCGCGGGACACACAAAATGACCGCGTTACACGCGACTAGCGATAACTCGCTATTGACTTGACACACACACTCAATATCATGACCCATCATACACACACTATTATAAGCATGAAATATATATTATCCCATGCCCTATACCATTCCATGCACATACGCATGCACGCACACGGACAACAAGCCGAGTGCAAACCGTAGGTTGCACCAACAAACTCCCCCTCGGATTGTTGGACATAGAATCTGCTCCTCTTAGTTCAGAGCCATCCCAGCAAGCTTGCAACACTTCCAATGCTGCTGCTCCACCAGCCTCTTAGTCATCATGTCAGCCGGCTGCCCCGTGGTCTTCACATAATGCAGTTCAACTTCACCCGCGGCCACCATGCTCCTCGTCCAATGCCACTTCACCCTCATGTGCTTTGTCAAGCCATGCAACACGGGGTTCTTGGCTAGAGCAATGGCTCCCTGGCTGTCACAATAGAGAGGAGTAGGTCCTTGCTGCTCCTCCCCCAATTCAGCCAATAAACGCCGCTGCCACACAATCTCCCGTACGGCACGGAAGAGTGCCATGTACTCGGATTCCACCGAGCTCAATGCTTGGTCCACCTGCTTCTTGCTCTCCCAAGCAGTAGGGCTTCCACCAACACAGCTGATGAAGCCTCCCATACTTGTCATGTCCTCTGGTTCTGATGCATATGAAGCATCCGAGTAGGCGGTGAGGAACAACCGCCCGGGTTCCACACCATCCGCGCCCTTTTTGCGCCTTTGTGCCGCCGCCGAGTATTGCAGCCCAACGGTCGGTGTTTGGCCAAGGTACTTGGCCACCCTCATTCCAGCTGCTACCTGCTCTTCATTAGGGCATTGCACAACCCTAGCCAGCTGCCCGGTAGCAAACGCGACATCCGGTCGTGTGTTGACCGCCGCATACATGAGGCTGCCCACCAACGAGTGAAAACGGCGCCTCTCCTCTTCACCCACGCTCTCCTCCTCTGGTCCCTTCACACACTTGAACCCAGAGGGAAAGGGTGTAGCCACATGGCCTTCATTCTGGCCAAAGTTGGCAGCCAACGACTCCAGGTACTTCCGTTGGTGCACCCGCATGCACCGCTTCTCCACGTCACGTTCGATGTGGAGCCCGAGGTAGAAGTTCACGTCCCCAAGGGACTTGCACTTGAACTTGTCATGAAGTTTCAGCATCACCTCCTTCACAAGGTCAGAGGAGGGTGAGAATATGAGAATGTCGTCCACATAAACCACCATGAAGCTCCTCTGCTCTCCCTCGCCAAGCATGAACAAGGAGTGATCGGCCGTTGAGGGAGTGAAGCCGATCCCCTCCAACACTTCGCGCAGCTTCATGTACCATTGCCTTGGGGCCTGCTTCAGCCCATAGAGGGCCTTCTTCAGCTTCCACACTCTGCCACTACCATCATCAAACCCCTCCGGCTGCGCCATAAAGATTTCCTCCTCAAGAATCCCGTCGAGGAACGCCGTTACGATGTCTAGCTGCTTCACCACCCAACCTTTGATCGCGGCTCCCGCGAATAGGGTTCGCAGCGTCGTCGGCTTCACCACAGGAGCAAACATCTCCTTGAAGTCCACCTTCTCCTTCCGCAGGTACCCCTTGGCCACCAGCCGAGACTTGTAGCGCTCGATCACGCCATCGGCATCCGACTTGATCTTGAAGAGCCACTTGGACGTAATCGCCGTACGCCCCTCCGGTAGCTCCACCAACTCGTACGTGTCGTTCTCCTCAATGCTCTTCAGCTCATTCTCCATTGCCTTCTTCCACTCCTCAGCATCATCACTCTCCAAGGCCTCCTTGAGAGTTGCTGGTTCTCCCGGCATCTCCACTGGAGAGAATAAAGCGAAGGCACACTCCTCGTAGTCACTCTCCTCGTTGTCTCCAACCATCATTGCCGCTCCAGCTAGGGCCGTCTTGCCCTGCTTCCCCGGTGCATCATAGGTCAGCCTATTAGGGGCTTGGACTCTCCTCTTGACCCTTCCTTCCTCCTCAGCTGCAGCGACTTGAAGGCCTTGGCGTTGCTGCGGTGTGGCTCAAATCCGTGGAGCACTCGTAGTGCGGGAAGGAAGTGTCGGTGCACGCTCGCTCACTTGCTGCACCTCCTCCTCTTCTTCCTCTGCATCCCTGGCCTCCTCTCCCCCATTCACAAGGGAAGATTGCCTTGTGGTAGTGCTGCCGCTGCTCAGCTCCAAAGGCAGCTCCACATGCTCCAAACCGGAGTTCTTCACCTCTCCAAACCGCACGCTAATCTTCGCCTCATTCTCCGGCTTCCAATCTTAGTACATGAAGTTCTCCATGAACTTGCAGTCCCTGCTCACCATGAACTTCTTGGTGAACGGGTCCCAAAGGAGCCACCCCTTGCTGTTTTGTGCCATGCCCAAGTGCACGGCCCACACCGCCTTGGCACCAAGCTTGTTGTGCCGAAGATGCTTAGGTACGAGCGCCATGCACATGCACCCGAACACCCGAAGCATATCCACCTTTGGCTTCCTTCCAAGCCACTCCACATAAGGCACCCATTTGTCTGCTCCCACATGAGTCAAGACTCTGTTCTTGGCCACACACGCGCTCCGCACCGCATCAGGCCAGAAGTAGTCGGGTAGCCCGGCTTCAATGAGCAACCCGCGTGCCGCCTCCGTGATCGTCCGGTTTGCTCGCTTGGCGATGCCGTTCATTGCAGGGGAGTATGGCATGGTGAGGGAGTGCCGAATGCCATTCTTCTTCAGCCACAACCCAAACTCTTTGCTCAGGAACTCTCCCCCTCGATCGGTGCGGATCGACTTCACTAGACGGTCTTGTTGCCGCTCCACCATCGGGAACCAATCCGTCTTCAATGTTTCAGCCACGTCGCTCTTCTTGGCCAGCACGTACACCCAAGTCATGCGGGTGTAGACGTCGACAATGGTGAGGAAATACTTAGCTCCAGCAGCTCCAAGCTTCAGGGGGCCCACCACGTCCATCACCACCTCATCAAGTGGTGCCTTAGCCGTTGCCTCCGAGCTCGAGAACGGAAACCGCGTGAACTTGGCTTGCATGCACGTCGGGCAGCCAAGCACCTCATCAGGCTCCGCCTTCACACGTATGCCAGCAACCATCTGGTTCTTCACTAGCTGCTGCAAGATGGGCAGGGCCACATGCCCCATGCGCCGATGCAAAGTCAACCAATCACACTCCCCCGTAGCCGAAGTCGGATTGGAGAATGCCGCGCTCGCAATAGCGCCCCACATGCTCTCTCCGTACTCCTCCTCCGCTGCTGCCTCGGGGTTCTCCTCACCCTTGTGCTGCTCCTTGGCTGCTGCACCACTCTCCTTAGGACCATACAGCTTGCTGGTCCCTCCAGGTTTGCTCTTCTTGAGCTCGTTCTCCTTAGCGCGACCGTTCGCGCCATCGCCGCTACCAAGCGCTTCTCCGTTGGTGCTGACGCTTGCTGCCACTTGCCTCTCCTTAGGCATAGGGACCACAGGGATCTGCCACATCTCGTTGTAGACATCCCTATCCTCATGAAGGTCCCAAAGAATCCGGTCACCAATCCTTGCGGTGTAGGTCTTGGCCCCCTTCGAGTTCGTGTCCATGCCGGCCTTCGCCAACCGCCGCACGGAAATCAGGTTTGCAGCAAGGCTGCAAGGCTGGGCACCCAAAGCACGTTCTTGAGGCCCACCATCTTCCCATCAGCACCCTTGAACATGGCCTTCCCCATGCCTTTTACCTCTGCTCGCTGCCCCAAAGCCGATGTGACATGCTTCACCGATGACGGTTCAAGTTCGGTGAGCAAGTCCGGGCGAGGTGTCATGCTTTAGGTAGCGCCACTGTCGATCACCCAATAGTCCAGGGTGTGTAGGGTCACCTTCCCTACAGCTGCTGGCTCCTCAAGGTCTTCATCCTTCTCTGGACCAGCCGGTACTTGCGTCGACACGAAGTAGAATAGGCCCGGGTACCGATCGCCGCTCGGGTCCTTGTCGTTATCTTCGCTCTTCACATTTGCAGCACCGCCACCGCGACCGCCACGGCCTCCACGGCCTCTTCCTCTCCCTCCTCCTGCTCCTTTACCCTCTTGGCCTTGAGCAGGGGTCCATCCTTCAGGGAGTTTGAAGCAATCGCGCCACATATGTCCGCTCTTGCCGCAATAATGACATTCGCCGTCGAATCGACCGCGACCGCGTCCGTAGCTCTTGTCGTCGCTGCCGTAACTGCCGTTCCCGCGGCCTCCACTGAAGTTGCCGCCACCAGATCTTCCTCCCCCTCGTCCTCTGCCTCTTCCTCGGCCATATCCACGGCCGACGCTAGCTGCCCCAGCGCCATCCGCACTCGCCAACTCACGGCGGCGGAAGTCCTCTTGTAGGATCGTGCGCTTCACGCCTTCAAGCGAGAGACGGGGCAGGTCACAGTTCAAATTGATGATGAGCGAGGACCACGACTCGGTGAGTAAGGCCAGCAACTTGGTCTTCTTTGGAGCTCACTGTAGTTCAAATCAGCTGCC